TGGGAACTGAACCTGTGTCCTCTGCAAGAGCAACAAATGCACTTAACTGCTGAGCCATCTCCCCAAAACCCAGAATCATATTTTCTTGAGAACATGTTTTAATTTTTCTCTTGAAGTCCTGCCTCTCCTGAATTTAAGTTTACCCACAAGTCTAAATGGAGTGACAGTGTAGACTCTGGCTTTAACTTAGCTGCATTTGTACCTGTTAACATTCTCTAAATTTCCCAACATTCCCATCCCAGGGAAAAACAGCTAGTGTTGGGTTAGTTTATTTACATCCAACAAACACCGCTAGGCTCTAGGTTGGAATCAGATCCAAGAAAAGTTCTGGTCTCTGGGAACAAGCAGTTGTCAGGTAGAATAAACCATGGAGCCCTTTTCACTCCAGGGAGGCCGGGTTCCAGTTTACGAAGTTTAGAGATGGCTCAATGGTTAAGAGAATTTGTGCTAGCCAAAGACCCCAGTTCCCAGCACCCACCTGGTGCTGATAACCATCTGTAACTCCAGTTGTAGGGGATCTGGAACCACTTCTGACCTCTGAGGACCCCAGGCACATATGCAGTGCACAGACAGACATGCAATCAAAATACTCATGTACATAAAATAAAATAAGCAAATCTTTTTTTAAAGGTGTTTAGAATAAGTCCCTTCCTTTGCTAAGTTCTAGCGTGAGAACTATGGGAAATAACTTCAGTTGGGAAATAATTTATGTTTTGGAACATCTGAAGTATCAGAAATGATGTCCTTCTTGAAGGTTGAATTGAAGTTACCAGGAGGATGTGGACAGACACGTTTCCTGTCGAGGGATTGTTCTTAGACACTTTTAAGGTGTTTTACACATAGCTACTGGGTTAATAGATCTCATATCACTCTTCAACCTTAACATTTTTACTTGTGTGTGTGTGTGTGTGTGTGTGTGTGTGTGTGTGTGTGTGTGTGTGTGTGTGGTGGAGTGCACGCATGCTGTGGTGCACAGAGCGACTCTGGTAGTCGGGTCTCTCCTTCCACTGTGTGGGTCCCAGGGACTGAACTCAGGTCTTCAGGCTTGCCTGCAATGCTTTCACCCCACTGACCCTCTGCCCCTTTTTGAATTGGTCTGAATCATTTGCATCTTCTTAGAAGTTATATGTCTCAACAAGATTTAAATCTACAAAATAGAGTCTTGAGGTTCTGGGAGAGAGCATTTCCTGGGTATAGAGTCTCCTCTCTATTCTTATTCAAACCACAGGGTAATTCTGTGTGTCATTCCCAATTTAACGATTTCTTTGCTTTCTAATACATGAATTATCTTTACTAATTCCTTTTCAAGTGTTTTGAGCCTGATGATCATGGACAAATGATTGTTAATGAATAATTTATTTTCCTTCTTTTGTTTGATGATGAAACTTCTTGCAGTCCCTAACTAAAATTTGCAACATTTAGGCCACATCTATGGGCTTTGCAATATGTGGCATTTTATGCTTCCACATCTAATTAAAATTTTAATTTCTGTTTCCACTGTAACATTTTTGAAGGTTAATCTTAGTTTTCCCATTGAAATATATATATGCATATATATTTATATATGTTTTCACAGCAAAAGAAAGTGTCCACACCCCTCATTCAAGTTTAGAGCTTCAAGGAATCTTTCCTGTACTTTCATGCATGTAATTAAGATGCTGATTTTGGCCAGGCATTGATGGCGCACGCCTTTAATCCCAGCACTCGGGAGGCAGAGGCAGGCAGATCTCTGTGAGTTCGAGACCAGCCTGGTCTACAAGAGCGAGTTCCAGGACAGCCTCCAAAGCCACCAAACCCTGTCTTGAAAACCAAAAAAAAAATGCTGATTTTGAAATATGGCAGTGACTCAGAGGTTAAAGTACTTGTTGCCCATCTGTGAGGACCAGGGCACAAATCCCCAGAACCTGTAAATGCTGAGTATGTGTGGCAGTCTGCATACTTCCAGCCTCAGATGGTATAGGCATGGTATCCCTAGAGCAAGCTGGCTCATGAGAGTGTCAGTATGGGATTGGGATGGGGAGACACTGGATTTGACTGAGAGACTCTGCTTAAGTGAACAGGTGGGAGTGATGGAGGATACTTCCAGGGTTAAGCCTTGGGCTTCTACACGAAAGCTTATACACATGTGCACATGTACTCCCATGCATGCAAACATACACAGCACACATACACACATACATGAAAGTGGAAAAAAGTAAAAATACACTTTAAAAAAACCACATTCTTAGTTATTTCCAGCAAGAAGGTCTGGTTGGGTATCTTGTTTCTTATATGAGAACTAACTTGGTATATTGTTTAAGTTTGTTCCTCTGTGAGCAACAGTATTTTTTAATGGTTTTTTGAGACAGGGTTTCTCTGTTTAGCCCTAGCTGTCCTAAAACTCCCTCCGTAGACCAGGCTGCCCTCAAAACTTGAGATCCACTTGCCTCTACCTCCCAAGTGCTAGAATTAAAGGATTGCACCACTATAACCAGCAAACAACAGTATTTCTGTGCATTAGTGGAGGTCTCCATTCTTGTCCTTAGGCAAATATTTATTGTTAGTTTCCTTAATTGTCTTCTGTGCTCTTCAGAGCATCATGCCCTGGGAATCTTTTGCATTGTGTTAAAAATAAATATACTGAACTCTTTTCCTGGCTCATGAAGTTTCAAATGCTACAAAGGAATATAGACAGGCTTTTTTTTCCCCTTATGCTGGAGATAGAGTCCAAGGTCCCATGAATCCTAGGTGAATACATTATCATTGGATGGCAATGCAATTCCATAAAAAGAGAATTTTAAAATTGTAAGAAACATATTGTTACCTTTTGATGTACGACACTTTAATGTTATTTTTCTGCATTTACCTGTCTGTGCACACAAGCAGGGGTGCTGGTTGGCGCTTCTAAGATAGCCCCCTGTAAGCAAGGCTGTGGGAAAGATCAACAATTGTACCTTGGAGGCCCACCAGGGCTTCGGGAAGGCTTGAAAGTCAGAGAGCTATCAGAACAATGAAGAGGCCAATGCGGTCCCAAGCTTGAACCTTAGCACAAAATTTATATGTCACAGAACAGATTCATAGACGGGTCTCATTCTTGGGGACAACAAAAGCCTACCCTAGCAAATACTGCTGCTGCTTGAAGCCTCCCTTCCTCTCCCCTTGCAGGACACCTCTAGCAGCTCCCTGGTTTGCCAGATGAACAAGACCTGGATCCAGATGGGGGTGGTGAGCTGGAACTTTGGCTGTGGTCGTCGCCGATTCCCGAGCATCTACACCAGCACCTCTCACTTCACCCAGTGGGTCAAGAGGCAGATTGGTGACATGAGGTTTGCCAGCATGGCTGTCCCTTCCTTCCTGAGCCCATTCATCCTCACTAGCTACATTTTGCTGGTTTCCTTGGGCTCCCTGTGGCTCTTGTGAGCCGTGTTTCCACTGCAGTCATGCCCAGAGGCGACTTCTCCTTCCTCTCTGCTGCGCCCTCAGAAGTGGACACCTGAGACTGAACAGGACCACCTCAGGACAGAGGGACTTGGGGGAAGGGTCCTAGACCCACTGTGGGTTTTGTCCCCCAGTTCTTCAATGAAGCTGCTCTGAACATGTTGAGCCATCTGAAGTTATCACATTCTTGACTTTGACCAAAGCCTTTTAGAACGCTCCCGTCATAAAGCCTGGCTGTTTCTCAAGCTGAGCCTTCTCCGATGGTCTTACTCCATGTCTGCCACAGTGTGCTGTGTGATCTTGGGTGGTTGTTCCCTTGTTCCCCTTGTAGTTTCCTTTAAAAAAAATTACTTTCATGTCTATGTCCACCTTGTAGTTTCCTTTAAAAAATTTACTTTCATGTCTATGTCCACCTTGTAGTTTCCTTTAAAAAAATTTACTTTCATGTTTATGTCCATGAGTGTAGGTGCCTGTGGAGGTGAGAGTGTCCGATTTCCTCTGGAACAGGAGTTACTAACGGTTGTGGGCCACCCCATGTGGCTCTAGGGACTCAAACTCAGGCCCCTCTGTAAGAGCAGTACTGTAGTTTCCTATTTTGCTGCCTGGAACCTGAAGTTGCTGCTCTATGAACCCAGCAGGTCAGCGACTCCCAGTTCCCAAGGCCCCTTTCCTGTGTCTGAGACTGTCTTTGCGCAGGCCTTCCTGCATGGGCTAACTTCTTTCCCCGAGACTTCCCAGGGCCAGATCACAGGCTTTTCTCTGCCCGCTGTGCTCTGTGACATATAAATTCTGTGACCTCCTCAGCCAGTCTCCCCCGAGTGGCTCCAGACCCCGGTTCCTCCTCTCTCTCCGGCAGGGTGAGTGCTGTGGGCACCTGAATGAGATGTGTGAAGTGACTGTACCCTGAGTCCCTGGGCCGCCTCACTCACCTCCGTCAGTGACCTCAGGCCTGCCAGCTCCTATTGGGAGATCAGACATACAGAAGCGCTGCTTGCTTTTTTCCTGGGATTGAAGCACTAAATTACCTGCTCAGGCGTTTCTCCCAAGAGCGTAGGCTTTGACAAAAGGGACAATGTTCTAGCTTGGTCCCGCTTTCACTTTGTCTGTTAGGCTGAAAATGTCCAGTATCTGTGCACCAACGCTTCCAGGAGCATCCCACACTCCCTTTCAAGTGTGCTAACCGTGTTGCTGAGCCATCAGCGTGTTCCTCAAATGTCCAGACAGTGACTCTCTGCTCTCACTGTTGTCTAATGGGTGCCATCACTTCTCCGGTATGGCTCCGTATTCTCAGTAAGGAGATCTAGAAAGCACACCGCTTCGCGTGGTGTGGCCTTCAAAACCTGGTACTGAAGCCAAGCTTGGTGGCCCACACCTGTTTCCCCAGGACTTGGGAGGCCAGGGAAGGGTTGCTGTCACTTTGAGGCCATCCCGGGCTACATAAGTGAGACCCTAATGAACACATTAGTTTGCTTCAGCTCAGTGCCCTAAGACAATGGCCTGTGTGTGAGCATTCAAGGGATGCTAGCAGAGGGGAGTTAGGGGGATTGGCAGGTTGGGGTTGGCCTTCCTCTCGCTGCTAGCTGAGGTAAAGCAAAATGACCCAGAGAAAGGGCCCATAGGTTTGAGGAAAGACACCAGCCAGGAGCCAGGCACTATTTGTCCGCCATTCGGCAAGAGCGTCCCCAACGAATGGCACCCAGGGGGCGCCACGCAGGCTGGGCAGCTAAGCGCCCGATGGAGGGCGCCATTGTGGAGGAACCTAGCGGCGCAATGGAGCCCTGGTCCTGGGCAGGGGTCGGTGGGCAAGGCCCTCAGGGTCCCCGTGTGCCCGGGGTCTCTCACAGCCGCACCCGTGCCTGCGCCCTTCTGCTGCTGCTGCTGCTGCTGCTCCTGCCTCGGTGGCCGGCAGGTGAGTCCACCCGCTCCCCGGCGCCCCCTCCTGCTCGCCCACACCCCGGGCCGCCTCTGACCGGCTCGTGACCTTCCGCAGGCTGCTTGGCCACAGGCGAATCCCCCGGGGCGCTGTCCACCACAGTCCCGACCGACCCTGGAGTCTCCTGTGGCCCCAGAGCCACCTGTCCCTCAGGCAGGCTTCGCCTTCCCCGGCAGGCCAACACTCCAGGGACCACCGCTCCACCAACACCATCACCGACGACTACGGCGGCCGCTCTGGTGAGGACTGCCGGGTCCGTTCGTAAGATGAAACCCAGCCAGTTCCGCTGTGAGTACTGGGCAGGAGAGGTCAGAGAGCTCTTCAGGATTTCGGATCCCTGAGGTCGAAAGGTGAAGGGATCAAGGATCCAGCGGAGAGTAGATGGAAGGGGAAGTCCTTGTACCAATGTTTATTGAGCACCGAAGGTTGGGCCAGGCGTTGGTTCTGCCTTCATGGCTTGCAGGCTTTCCATCGTGGTGAGGTAAACAGGGGAGGAGGAAAGTTAAAGTCGGTGGGGAGAGTGGTCAGTTGGGGGTGGTGTTGGGGTACCCAGAGCTGGCTGGTAGCCAGATGCCTCTCAGGCAGCTGCAGGCTTGTCTGCGCCTGTCTCGGGGTCACAGCCCAGAGCCCACAACACAACTCTTTTCGCGGGCTCTGCGAGGCACACCTGCCTTGCTGTTGGTGTGATAAAGCAACTGGGGGCCGGGACTTTATTTTGCTTACACTTTCAGGTCACCGTCCGTCACAGAGGAGAACCAGGGCAGAACCTGCGGCAGACACTTTGGAGGGAGGGCTGCCTCACTCTATAGGACCATGCTTAGCTAGCTTTCTTATAGGGGCTACCTGCCTAGGGATGGTGCCACTCACATGGGGCTGTGCCGCCCAACATCAGTTAATAATCCCCAGCCCCCCACTCTGAATTCCTCACGGGCCCGTCTGATTAGATTTCTCTTTCAGATGACTCTGTGCAGTGTCAGGTTGACAAGGAAACCTAATAGTGCACCAGGACACTTTCACCTGGCAGGGATCTGTAGCTAAGACCCACAGAAGAAGTAGTTATCCTGGGCTTCAACGCAGTCCCTTTAACTGCCTCAAGAAGTCTCCTGGGGAGCCGGGCGGTGGTGGCGCACGCCTTTAATCCCAGCACTCGGGAGGCAGAGGCAGGCGGATCTCTGTGAGTTCGAGGCCAGCCTGGTCTACAAGAGCTAGTTCCAGGACAGCCTCCAAAAGCCACAGAGAAATCCTGCCTCAAAAAAAAAAAAAAAAAAAAAAAAGTCCCCTGGGGGACGTCCGCCAAGCAACTGTGTGTAGTACATGCTGATAGTCTGTTAGCTGAGTGTCGTTTTAAGTGCTGTGATGGGTTGGGGAGATAATTCAGTGGGTAAGAGCTCTTACCATGTGAGCTAACACGAGAATCTGAATTAAAACCCCAGAACCTATGTAAAAGTTGAGTGGCTGTGGTCTCACGCCCCAGTAACCCCACACTTGGGGTGGGGAGCAGAAACAGGAGACTGCTGGGAGCCCTGTCCCTGCTTGAGGAGGCTGCCAAACTAGCTTGGGGTTCAGTGAGAGGCTCTGAATCAAGAGAATAGCGTAGAGAGTGATGAGGACGCTCACAATCCTCCGGCCTCCACGTGCACACTTGGGTGTGTGTCCACCCATCCACACAGGAATGATACAGAGAGAGCAGATAACATTCACCAGGCCCCGACTCACACTCACGGCACTACAAATGAATAAGTAAATATGTAACAAGTACGTAGATATGCTAGCCATGACCTATTTACCTGATTTCACAATCCATTGACTCGTTTGGAAAAATTCTTGAGTGGAAGCTGGATGTGGGCACCTTCAATTTCCTTTATTTCCTTTTTATGGGTACCATGTTTTTCCTGCATGCATGGATGTGTACTGTTTATGTGCCTGGTGCCTCTGGAGGCCAGAAGAGAACACCAGATCCCCCCAAACTGGAGCTACAGATGTTTGTGAGCCACCACGTGCATGCTGGGAACCCAATTCCTATCCTTTGGAAGAGCAGACAGTGTTTTGTTTTTAGAAACAGGGTTTCTCTGTGTAAGCCTGATTGTCCTGGAACTCACTCTGTAGATCAGGCTGGCCCTGAACTCACAGAGATCCTCTGCCTCCTGAGTGCTGGAATTTGAGGCATGTACCACACCTTCTAGTGTTAGCTAGTGCTCTTAACAGCTGAGCCATCTCTCTAAACCCCATCTTCAATTTCAAAACTGTTTCCGAAGTGCCCTCAGCAGTCAGCACGCCCTCCTCAGGAGGGTGCATCAGGGCCTAGAATTCTCACCAGCATTTGGTGTTACGGACACTTAGCTTCTGTTTCCCCGGTGTGTGATGTAGCTTCGGGCTGGATCCCCTGAGTCCCAAGGCGGCCGAGCAAGTGTCCATGGCTCTTGCCACTTTGCTTTCCTCTTTGGGATGTGTCTGCCCCTCCTACAATGTTTTACTGTTGGGTCATCTATGTCTATCTCCATGAATCACAAGAGGGAGTCCCAGAAAAGGGGCAGGGTCCACAGTGGGTCAAGCAGGAGGAGCAACTTGCAACCAGATAGGAATCCAGGTGCATTTGTGAACATCTGTCTGGTTACCGAGGTGCTCTGGGGCTCAAGCTGTAGGGACAGGGAAACAGGTATCTGGGCACAGTGCTGAGGCTTTTCTAAAGCCGGAGGTACCCATGGATGGATGCTGTCATTCCATAGTGACAAGTACAAAGGGGTGGATATGTACGGGTGAGTGGTTGGAGAGGCTGGACAGGGGGAATGGGGACAGAGTCGCGAGATGTGGCCGGGTGAGCTTATTGCTTCATCGAGCTCTTTTCTTCCTCTAGTCTGTGGTTCCTCCCATGAGCCGGACCCTACTCTCAGGGACCCAGAAGCCATGACTCGGCGGTGGCCATGGATGGTCAGTGTGCAGGCTAACGGCATGCATATCTGTGCTGGCACCCTTATTGCTTCCCAGTGGGTGCTGACCGTGGCCCACTGCTTGACCCTGTGAGTTGGGGCCCAGGTGGGTGGGTGGAAACGCCTCTGGAATTCTGGAGGCCTAGACAGTCTTCCTGGCGACCCATCAAGTAGCAGCTGTGTCCTGTGTGGAGCTCACAGCGCTGGTCCCAGTCACATCCTCGCTGAGCTGAGTCTCATGGACCCCTTCCCGGGGTCAGCTTTTGGCATGCACCCACCCTCTGTCTTTTTAACCTGCCCTTCAGTCCTGTGTAGTCACCCATAGGAAAGGAAGCTCAGATGACCCTAGATTTTCCATTCCACCCTCTTCGCTCCCTGTCAGCCCTCTTCCCTTCTGTCAATCAATACTTTCTAGCTCTCCTCTAAGAGAGGCCCTGACTTAGAACCCGTCAGGGTGCTTAGAGACAAGAAGACAGACATAAATTGTGTGGAGGCAAAAGGGTGGGAGTGCCAATGTTCTGTGGCCTGGGAACTAACTCCCGAGAGTAGTGTCTATGTTTCCCTTGAGGCCTGGCCAGTGAAGACATGTTCTAGGTTGATATAAGGGTCAACATAGTGACTTCAAGAGGTATCCCATGGAAGATGGCTTGCGATCTGGGCCATGGTCATTGCACAGGGACTCTGTTCCCTTCTGAGGTGCAACACAAGATAGAAACCCAGAGTTTGGCTAGTGGGGATGGAGCCCACACCCCAGCTCTGCTGCTTCCTAAGCCTACATCCCTGAGCAGGCTGCGGCACGCTCTGTGCAGGGCTCTGTCATGAGGAATGGACTCCGGGGGCCTTGAAGTCCAGGGTGGCCTGCCTGGATTTGCTTAGAGGGTCACAGTGGCATGGAGGGCAGGGTTGGGGTGGGAGGCAGGAGCCTAGAGCTGATGGAAGACACCCCCCCTCCTGTTCCCGTAGGCCTCATGTTAACTACACAGTGAGGGTGGGGAGTCCATGGGTTAACCAGACCACAGCCACCAGCACCGATGTTCCAGTACATCAGATCATCATAAACAGACGCTACCAAGCCAGGCGGTACTGGTCTTGGGTTGGCCGGGCCAATGACATCAGCCTCCTCAAACTCCAGTGGGGGCTCAAGTACAGCAAATATGTGTGGCCCATCTGCCTGCCTGGCCTGGAATACGTGTTGGAGGACAGTTCTGTCTGCACCGTGACAGGCTGGGGATATCCCAAGGTTAATGGTGAGTCAGGGTCCCATCCCCGCAACCTGGGGTGCATGGCGGGAGAAAGGACTTGGGTGAGGCTGGGGTTCCCATGGATGGACATTTCTAGAGTACCTTCTTTAAGGAGGTGACTCATTCAGGAACTTTCTTGTTGGGTTTCTCATCACTGACATCTCCCCATTGAGGGTCTTGTCAGTGAACATGCCATGGTCATTATTGCCCTTGAAGTCTCAGGACCAAGCCAGTGTATGTAAACAGAACTTTCTTGAAGGCAAGGAGGTCTCAGAATGATAGCTTGTCACCCATACACAACCCTAGGGCATTGGCAAATAGAGTTCAAGAGAATGGGTCCTCATGCCTACAGATTGCTTCCCAGAGTAGATACAGCTTGTGTCTGCAAGGTCCACTCATGTCCCTTCCCTTCAAGGGACCGATGCGCAAGAGAGATGCCCTCCCCTGTGCCCTTGAGGATCGATTTGCCCTCTAAACAGCCCGTTCTGTGACCTCTCTGGGAGTGATCAGACATTTCCTGTCTCCCAGAAGCTCAGACACATTTTGGGTGGGATGGAAGATAGTGCTGGGGGTGGGTGGGGGAGGGGAATATCCATGGAGAGGGTCCGGAAAAAGTTAGTGAGGAGGCTCTAGGGATGACTTTGAAAAGGAAGGCTTCGTCCCAGAGAGCATGGCAGGCACTTGGAAGAGGACTGGCAGAGCCAGTCGGTGTGGACTGTCTGTCCCAGCACCTCTGAGTGGGGGCAACCTTGGGACCTGCGGGCCGGAGGGGAAAATACCTCAGACAGGGAGATATCTCTGTGACCACTATGCAAGAGAGGCAGAGCTGGTGGCCGTGGGCCACACCAGTGGCTGAACCTGAATGTGGACCTGTCCCACAGACAGGTGGCCCCAGTTCCAATCCCTTCAGGAGAAGGAAGTCTCCATCATGAACAGCAGGAAATGTGAGCAATTCTACCACAAGTTCTCCAAGATCCCCTCTCTGGTTCGGATCATCAACTCTCAGATGATCTGTGCCTCGGACAACAACAGGGAGAAGTTCTGCTATGTGAGGACCTCTGCCCCTGTCCACGTTTCCCGAGGGCCAAGGGGTGGAGGGGTGCAGGGGGCAGAGCTGAGGGCTGTGGAGAGGGGAGTGGGGAGAGGATGGAGAGGGCCCGCGAGGGCGGGGGCGTGGAGGCCACAAAGGGGTGGGCTGGGTGGGCTGGAAATGAGGGTGGTGGAGGTCGGGTGTGGAGCTAAGGAGGAGCGAGTGCCCTGTGAGGAGGAAACATAGGTCAGGAGCCCCTATCCGGCTGTGTTCATACCTGCAGGACACGCACAGAACCTGGTGGCAAACACCCTGGGCAAGCGGGGCTGTCTCTCTCAGGCGTGGCTTCACCTCCCTTACCCTTTCAACCTCCTCCCTCCACTCAGGAGCTAACCGGCGAGCCCTTGGTCTGCTCTTCGGATAGCAGCACATGGTACCTGGTGGGAATGATGAGCTGGGGCCCAGGCTGCAAGAAGAACGAGGCTCCGCCCATCTTTCTGCAGGTCTCCACCTTCCAGCCGTGGATCTGGAACCACCTTAGCGGGGATGCCCTGGCCCTGGCAGCCCCTGCCAGGACCTCGCTCCTGGCTGTCCTTCTGCTCCTCGGCCTTCTTGGCACTCTGTGATACTGCCGGGGCTCCTTCCCTTCCTACAGAGTGCCGCTGTGGGCGTGGCAATCAGCGGGGACTAGCAGAGATTAAACACTTCTGTTTCCCATGTCTCCTCTTTCTGAGCCCGCTCTAGTGGGAAGCGGGGTTACACACGGTGTGGGTGAGGGACTCTGGGCACTGATACTGAAAAGGGTAGGCCTCTAAAGATTTGGGGTGGCTCCTGCAGAAATACAGGGGTGTGTGAAGGGGCAGCGGGAAGATCGGGATGTACTACCTAGTCTAAAGCTGGGTCTGCTGGGACATCCCTCCCAGCCCCATAGATAGAGAGCGAGATGTTCTTTCTGTGAGGCTTGAGTGGGAGTTGGGCTCTGTCTGATCTCTTTTGTTTGTTTGCTTGCTTTTTGAGACAAGGTTTCTCCGTGTAGCCTTGGCTGTCCTGGAATTTGCTCTGTAGACCAAGGCTAGCCTCAAACTCAGAGATCCACCTGCCTCTGCCTCCCGGGTGCTAGGGTTAAAGGTGTGAGTCTACCCCACCTGGCTCTCCCCCTGCTCTTCACTGTCTTCTGGCCAGTGACTGGAACTCTCCAGAATATTATCGCCAGAGATCCATAGCGTACTTAGACCCTCTAGCATTGCCTCTGGCTTGGGGGCTCCGGTAGAACAGACACACTTCCCGCAGGCTGCACCAGCTGCTGTTCTGAGTGACCTTGAGTGGCCTCCAACCTCTGGATGTCCATTGCCTTGCCACACAGAGAGGTTGTGGTCTGTCTGGGGAGAAGGACCCCAGCCAGCTCTATGAATGGGAAGCCCGTACCCTGAAGCAGGAAGGTAGAGGCCAGCCAAGGGAGCCTGGGCAGTCAGGGTACTCATCCACTTCCATGATGGGGGCCTCCTGTGACCCTCTGCCCCCAGTGTTCCTTCCCCGTCATCCTGGGGTGCTTCTCCTTGTAGGATGTGGTACCGTGTCAGGAGGATCCCCGTGAGCCCCAGCACTGGAGACCTATTGAGAGCGTGCGATGGAGTGGAGGAGAGCTCGGAGGAGCCTCATCTGTTTCCCGAGGCTGGTGGTGGGTGGAGTGACTGCAGCTGCTCCTTGGCCTCTAGGCTTTTGTTTTTTAATGATTTCTTTTTAAGTGTGTTGCTGTTTTACCAGCATGTCTGTCTGTGTGAGGGTGTCAGGTCCCCTGGAACTGGAGTTACTGACAGCTGTGAGCTGCCATGTGGGTGCTGGGAATTGAACCTGGATCCTCTGGAAGAACAGCCAGTGCTCTTAACTGCTGAGCCATTTCTCCAGCTCCCCACCCCCCCACCTCTGTGTCTCTGTCTCTGTCTCCCCTCTCCCTCTCTCTCTCTGTCTCTCTCTGTCTCTCTCTGTCTCTCTCTCTCTCTCTGTAACAGGGGTCAGGGAGAGAACTTCAGGCTGTCTGAGGCACCTATTGTTATGGATTGTTGTGTCGCCTTCTCCAGGAACCCTCCAGGGCTTGGAAAAGCATGGGGGGGTGTGGAGTTCATCTCAGGACGGTTTTACGTGTTGGGGATACGCAGGCACCCAGCTTTATTGACAGATCTCTTGGGGACACCCTTCTAGCAGGATCCCACCGGGAAGGTCTTCCCAGTGTCTGGCCCTCCACATTGTGATGTTGGAGGCACCTCGTACATCTCTTCTGTAGGACCAGCCCCTAATGGCATTTGAATAATCTTCTTGGCAGAGGTGCTTCTTCTAATGGGACATGGCAGAAGAGATCTTCACACCGCTGTATTCGGCAGGCAGATGGGGACACCCAGGTTTTTTTGCTCAGTCCCCTGGCCTCCGCCCTCTTCATCCTTCAGATCCCACCCCTGGGCCAGAAGCCCTTAGTGTCCCCAGCTGCACACGCTGGCACCTTGTTTTCAGAGCTTGGCATTGGCCAGGTCAGGACCCCTCCTGATAATGGGGCCACTTGTGCAGCCAGGGACAGATTCCTGCCAAGCTTGGGGCAATTTCCTTGCTTTGAGAGCTGCTATCCATTACGTCGGAGAAATGTCACAAGCTCCCCATCAGCCCTCCCTCGGTGCTTATGGGCTCACACACAACCTGTTCAGTCCTGCCATCTGAAACTGCCCGACTCCCTCACAGGCACTTCCGGCCCTGGCAAATCGGGTGGGACAGAAGCCTGTGTGGGTGTGGGGAGGAGTTTGAGGCCACTCAGTATCTGCGGGGGACAGTGCCAAAGAGAAGTGCCCGGGCTGATGAGGTGAAAGGAACAGGGTCCGGGATGGACATGCGTGAAGTCTTGTCCCTGCACCTTTTGGGCCTCGAGGTAATGGCCGTGGCTTCTCAGACCATGGCCTCTATGGTCCGTGTATGAACGCGGACTCCCGGGGCCTGGGGCCTGGCCTGAGCTTGGACTTCAAAGCCTTCCAGCCCCTGCGGCCACCTCCAGGGTCCTTTCCTCATTTCTCTCCTTTCTTCTTCTTTGCCTCGTTCTTCTCATCTTCCTCCACCTTGACAGCCACCGTGTCCACGCTGTCCTTCTTTTTCTTCTTCTTACCCTCTGTGGGCGGGGGAGAGACCACAGTGGTGAGAATGGGGACGGCGCCATGGCTCTCCGCTCCCTCCCGCCCTCCCCGCCACGCCTTCTCAGACCTTCTTTATTCGAGGTGGCGAGCGTGTGCACGCCTGTGTGTGACAGCCAGTGTGCACATGTGTGGGCATGTACATAGAGACCAGAGGTTGATGATGCATGTCTTCTTGGACTACCTTATTTTTTTTAAGAGGCCTGGAGATCACCAGTCTGGCAAGACGTAAGCCAGTGAGCATAAGGAGCCCTTAGCGCTGAGGTTGCAGTTGCATGATCATGCTGTGTTTTGGTTTTGTTTTTTGTGGGTCACAGAGATCCAAAGTCAGGTCCTGTGCTTGCATGGCAAAGACCTTACTGACAGAGCCTCCTCTACAGCACCCCCTACAATTTTCCCACTACACATGGGCTCCTTATTTATTTGCTGGCTCCAACAGGTTTCTGCACTCTGGTCTCCCAGGACAGTGCCCAGTCCCTTCTCTGAACCAGCTGCAGGGAGAAACAGTGATCTGGGGCAGTGGGACTGAGTGGCAGGCCCACTGCAGGATCAGGGGTGGCTGTGGTGGGACTGGAATCTACTCACCTCCAGGGATTTCTGTGAGTTCATTAAGGGGAGGCACCGTCTCCAGCTTGTCTGTGTACATCTTGGCTGCCTTCCGCTGTAGATACCGGGCCTCAATCTCCTTCCGTGTCCGTGGTACACGGCAGTTGAAGACACAGCACAGTGTGATGACTGTATGGATTTCAGAACACGTTTGGCTAGGGTAGGGTCTCAGCCAGGTTGAGTGGTACCTAAAATTAGGCCTGTCTCACGTCTCACATAAGAGACTCCTGCAAAAGCCTGAGGTGACCTCCAGAGGGACACTGACTTTACGTAGTTGCACATGGCCCCTGCATGCTTGGTGTAATGCTTTACTGTCAACTCCTTAATAACGTGGACATGAAGCCTGGCATTTTGTTTGTACTAGCCCCACAAACTCTATAGCCAATCTTGTCTGATAGTCTTTCTGATCACACTGGGTACTGGGGGAAGGTGAAATGAAGGTCTTAGGTATGGCTTTAGCCATGGCTACCCAGAGTCACCCTGTGCTTCTGACCTAGGCCTCTCTGGGTGCTCCTGAGAAACCCTGAGTTTCCTTCTCCACCTCCTGATTGCAGAAGCAGGGGTACCTCAAACACCCAAGCATGTGGCTGCATCCTCCACCTCCCGCCCATCTTCTCCATTCTTCCCATCCCGTCCATCTTCCCCAGCCTCCCCAGCCTCCCTGAAGATAAGTCTGGGCCCTGGCTGGGGAAGAAGCTGATGAGAAGGTCCGGACCTGGTCCTGGGCATTTACTTCTGAGGAAGTTATCCCAGGAGTGTTTTTCTGGCTAGAGGCAGCTGTGCCCACGTCAGCTGGGGCAGGCATGGAGCTGGCCTGTCTAGTGATGTACAGGGCAGGGCTGCCAGGACCTGGCTGGCTGGGCTGAGTTTATTTTTCTAAGGCTCCCACAATCTGACCACTGTGGCCCCAGCCCCTGGGGAGGGGGTGGTACTGGTTCCTATTATAAATAATATGGCCAGACAGAAATTCCTGGCAGGCTACTGGGGTGCAGAAGGGCCCAGGCATGACAAGTCAGGTCTATTTTGAGGAAATGGATCATAGCTAGGTAGTCTGGGATCATCTTGTTCAACCAAAGTAGCATCCCTTGAGCCAAGTATTTTGGTTCCATGTGTCTCACCCAGACTTTCCGGGTGGGAGAAGCAATGGAATGGAATGGATGGACAGACGGACGGATGGATGGGTGGAAGGGATGGTTCAACTACAAGAACAGGATTGAGTTCCTGAGTGCCTGGCTTTCTGAGACACCAGCATTCGGGAATACGCTGAGGGTGGGCAGGGGCTGGCTGCACTAGGGCCCCAGCAGAGGGCTCTTGGGGTTAGACCTGAGCCAACAATGGACTCACTTTTACTACCCAAAGTGCTCAGCTTTGGTCTCTCCCAGACCCCTGTGTGGGTGCCTTGGACGCAAGATTATCCGTATGCTCCAATCCTACTGGCTAGGGTCATCTGTCCTAGTCATTCCACTGACTCCTTAGGGCCCTGCCTGCTCAGGCTCCATGTGGTTGGTGCCAGGTCTTGGGAGATCAGGACTTCAGGAGATGAACAGGCAGCTGTTGGCAGCCAGAATAGGGATCACGTGGGCACATCCTGCCTGCCCCTCCAAGCCTGCCTTACCCAGCCTGGCCTGATTATTTTTCTCCAAGGAAAATGAAAAACCAAGGATTCGGGGTCAAGTTCTGAGGCCCAGGAAAGAATTGGGGGCACAGGAGACCCCCCCAGGGGCACTTCATTCGGCCCCTTTCTCTGAGGGAGTTAGGAGAGTGCCCCGTGAATAGCTGCCTGGGTCTGAGCAGTCAGAAGCAGAGAGACTCTTTTCCCTACATCACTCCCCGTAGCTGACCTGCTACACCCCAAACGGAGAGTAAATGACACTTGAGTTCAAGTGGCAGCTTTCCCACGAGATTCACCAGGGTGCTGGGTGGCCACAGAGAAACCATCCAGTTGTGAGGGTCTCAAAACATGGCATCTGATTTGCACGCGCTTCTCCTGGTACCCAGAGTGTCCTTCAGAGAGATTACCCCCTCCCCCCAGATCTGAGAGACTGTGCTCAGGCCTACAGAAAGTCAGGCACCCCAGTGAAGACCCCAGAGAAAGGTGTGCTGCAGCCAGAGCTCCTGCATCCTGAGGGAGACCAGCCTTGTAAGAGGCAGGGTTGGGGAGCCACTGCCCCGAGGAGCCCAAAACAGCTAGGAACCTGAGGTTTCTCCCAGGTTCCCCTCTGCCTGGGGGCCACACCAGAAATTTTCAGTCGGGCTGAAGGGCACACAGATGTCAGCCACACAGAGCATCTCCTACCCCTAACTTCATTTTCTAGAATGTGAGCATAAGGTCCCTGAGCAGTAGGTCAGTTACGGGGAGTGGTAACTTTTTGTCCTCCTCCAACTTCCCATTGGGGCAGACGGGTGCACACCAAGCCCCCTCAGCTACATCTCTGCACCGGTGAGAGTCCAGACGAGAGGAGCGGAATGGAAAGAGGCATGAATCATTTCTGGAAAATGGCATTTGAGGAGGTAGGATTCAGGGCCTGGATGCCACATCTGCTAGGCGTCTGGGGAGCCTCTGGTGGAGGTCGGCCTTGCTGGGGCCCCTGGGTGTGGATTCTCTGAATTGGGCAAACTGCAAGAAAAGCATCAGGAGGCCAGCCATAGGGAAAGATGACATGTCCTGGATTCAGTGGAGTCCCCTATAATTAACATAATTGCCATGTGGCTGTTTCCCTGGGTCCAGCAGCAATCTTTGGGTCACCACTGGCCTGTCATCCCTTCACAGGGACTTTGTTTGAGTGTGAGAAGGTGCCAGAGACCATGGTGGGCCTCCTGTGAGTGCCTGACCTACTTGAACTGCCCGGAATTATCACTCTGAACTCAAGGGGTACTGAAGGGCCCGGGGGTATGGAGGGGCTGTGATCCTCCTGTGGTGGGGTGGAGAGAGCAGGGCGTGCTACTCACTGATAGACAGCACGAAGAGCGAAAAGATGCCCACCACATGCCACAGGCGCATGTCCCAGAACACCACCGTCTCCTTGGTCAGTGGGGGCGGCTTAGGCTTGGGCGGGGCCGTGCTGGGCTGTGGGTCAACAGAGAAAGGCGTGGTGAGCCAGGCACAGGCCCGCAGGCCGGGATGGGGGCAGCAAGGACTCAGCCCACACATTTTAGAATCCCCAAAATGTTTCAGACATTCACAATCAACACCCTAGGCCTCAGAAAGTTCCAGATTTAGAACAAAAGCAGTGCTCAGAGTTCCAGACCGTGCACCAGGCACTTGGCCTAGGAGAGTGGTTGATGCTTGGGGAAACGAGGCTCAAAGGAGGCTGTGGACAGCCTGACCCAGCCTACTCCGATGGGGTCTCAGGACCAAGGCCAGAGACAAGACTTGTTTCATGGGCCAGGTGTGCGGCCGGGGAAACCTGGCTTTGTTCTCACCTCCCAATAGAGCTCTACCGTGGGGCTAAGTGGGCTAGTTGCTCCTCATACAGGTGACCACACAGACTCCTGACCCACTAAAAGTCATAACCACCAGAAGGCTGGGCCAGCCAGGCTAAGCATGGAAAGATAGTAATGTAGCGCCACCATGTGGTTAAAAGACGTAAGTGTGGCTAAGGAGGACACCACTCTGCTTTGAGAATCTGCGGGCTCCTGGCTTGGGGACACTATCATGGCTATGTTTCCTAGAAGGCACAGTGATGCCTCGGGTCTAAGGGAACTTGCCCCAGGGTATTAAAAGATATTATCCTACCTTGGGTTTCTAGAAAATGCAGTCTTCTCTGGGGGAATGAGGGAACACATCCCTGATCTGGGTGTTTTGGAGTTGTGACTTTGCTCTGGGTGTGTTTGTTTTGATAGATGCTGCGCTGGGTATTGAACCCAGGGTTTTGGACATGCTAGACCAACACTCTACTAACTTAGTTTCATCCTCAACCTGTGCCGGGTGTTTGGAGGGTACATGACTTTGTCCTGAGTGTCTACGGGACATGGCTGTGCCTTGTGGAATATGAGAGACTAGTTTGACCAGAGGTGTGACCCTGTCTCTGTCAGCAAGTTTGGCTAAGGGACAAGGAAGCGGGTGGAACCAGGCATTTGTGCAATACTGTTATCTCCTAAATGACCAGCAAGGTCCCTTATGGCCATCTGAGAAAGAAAGGCCACCTGTTACTCAACCTCCACTGGGGTCCATAAGCGTGGATAGGCACCTACAGGGACCAGGGACCTCCTCATCTAACAACTGCCACCCTCAGTGCTGGTGGCACTCAGAGGGGATCATTGACCTATGCCACGTACCCCAGAATCTGAGCCGTAAACTAGAACCTGACCCCCAGCTCTTCCCTCCTCACTAAGGGACTAGGATGGGGACTCCTTCCTTTACTCTGGAGCTCAGTTTCTCTCCATGCAGTTGGATAGTGCCCGCTGCCTCTGAGAGCGCTCCTATCTGAAGGCATAACTGGCAGCCACACTCCACTAAATCAGCAATGTGCCTTGGTGAACTGGGGAAGTCCTGTGCGGGCGGCAAGTATGTGGGTACATGATACGTGTGGGACTGGGCACATGTAAATGGGCAGAGAGCATATGTGTATGTGCTAGGTTGGCGACTGCAGCATCGGGGTTGGGGGCTTGGTGGTCACTGTTCCCTGCCTCACGGGCCTGCTGTGTTGGCCTGGCTGTCTAGCTGGGAGACCTTGACCGGGCTCTTGGGTAGAGGGCAACAGGCAACAGCCAGGCATCTTATGGTGGCCCTGATGAAGGAAGAGATTCTGACCCTTGGAGGCACAGCCTGGTGGAGAGGGGTGCTGCCTGAGAGGTGACGTGGTTCCCGGCCCTGCCGGCATTTCTCATGCCTCCTTGGAAACAAGGGCTAGGCCTTGCATGAGATGTAAGCAGATGGACTCCAAATGTGATTTCCTCTGCTGAGCTGGGAGAAGATGAGCTCCTCGCAGTGGGGAGACTCCTCGCCTTGGAACAACTGACTTGCTTGTTGCCCCAGCCTTGGCTCTGAGGACAGCTCAGTTACTGCCCAGGACATCAGGGCAGTTGGTGAGAGGCCGGCGTGTGCTCCGTGGGGCTCAGGCCAGCCTGGCTTCCCTTACAGCAGACTGAAGCTGATACCTGACACTAACAGCCTCTTCCACAGCCCTGGTCAGTTGCAGAAGGTACTTGCCACATAGGGGTACAGGTCTCTATGCCATGAGATGCCACCCTCAGCCCCTTCAGTTCAAAGCTATGGCCCCTTAGGACCCTCTGATTATGACTGTGTCTCCCCTGTCCTACCCTGTCCCTTAGCCACTGCCTCCCAGGCCTCCGTGATGCCCTGCAGCCCAGGCTCCACCGTCCCCCCCCCCCAGGCCTCCATGATGCCCTGCAGCCCAGGCTCCACCGCCCACCCACCCCCCACCCCAGGCCTCCGTGATGCCCTGCAGCCCAGGCTCCACCGTCCCCCCCCCCCGCCTCCGTGACGCCCTGTCAGCCCAGGCTCCACCGCCCCCCCCAGGCCTCCATGACGCCCTGCAGCCCAGGCTCCACCGCAGCTTCTCCTTGGCTCTGGCTCTTGGGCCTTCACCCTTTTGCCTCAGCTCCTGACTTCTAGGCCTGACTTCTGGAGAGGTCACAGGTGTCTGGGGACCAACTCCTGCCAGCTTGCCCCGCCCACCTTCTCCACCTCCTGCCTGCGAAGTCTCCTCTCGGCTCTCCACTCTGTGCCCCTTCTCATTTCTCCAAGCAGGAACTGTTCAGACGTGATGCGTCTGCCCAGACAGCTCCCGTAATCACTAGAACCTATTTGGATCTTCCAGTGCCTGGGTCCTACCTTCAGGAGGGGCTCTGGAGGATTTGTGTACAGAAAGGGCAGTTCCCCCAGCGTACCCTAAATCCAGGGTTCAAATATCCCCCATTAGACGAGAAGCAAAGAAGACTAAGGGCTGAAAGTCTCTCTCCCCATCCCCTAGGAAAACAAAGACCTGACGGCAAGGCTGTTTCCCTCCACACACCCACACACGGAGACTCCTTGTGTCCCTGATGTCTGAGGTTGTGCTCTGCCGGGGACTCTTTTCTAAGCGTGAAGGGCAAGGGGCCAAGTCACTCCACCAGCCAAGATGAATGGATAGAGCCAGCTCCCCGCACCCTCAGTCCCTACCCCCACCGCCGCCTGGACGGTGCCAGCATCCTGCGCCCTCCGTGAAGCGGTGCCTCACCTCCACCAGCTGCGTGGCGACCCCGGCCAGGCAAGCCCCCAGCGCGGCGCCGCCCAGAGCCCAGAGTCGCCCCGCGCCTCTCTGCCGCCCGGCCATGTTCTCCCGCCGCGCGCTCCGCTCCGGTGCAGGTCCTGGGAGCAGAGGGACCGATGCCCGGGGCTGCCGGGTGACTGCCCCTGGCCGCCCGCAGGCGGCGACGGTGGTGGCGGTGGCGGTGGTGGCGGCGGCAGAGAGCTCTGGCCGCGGCCCGCATCATTTATTCATCGTGAGTGTCAGGTTCCTGGGAGGCCACCTGCGCCATCTCTGCTGGGGTGAGGGCAGATGTGGGTGGAACCCTCCCCCGCAGGCAATCGGACTTTTGGACCTCCCACTCCATTGCAAGGACCTGAGGAAGAGAAAGCAGGGAGGGAGGAAGGGACAGGTTGAAGGTAGGCCCTACTTGATCAACAGGATTCCCCCACCCGCCCCCACTCCTATCCCTCTTGGGTCTCGGTTTCTCCACTTTGGACAAGGGGAGAGGCTGGAGTCGACTGATCTAGGAGGCCCTTCCCATTCTGACTTCCTGAGTTGGGGGTAAAATGGTACAGGACTTGGGAGGGAGCAGAGAGGGCGTGTTGCCATGGTGACAGGCTCTTTCTGGGCTGGCTTCCTGCCCAGAGGCAGCTCTGATCACCCTGGACACCAGAGCGGGAGGGAGAGGGGGTAGGGACAATCAGGGATAGCATAGTTAGAGCCGGCCAGATGTCGTGGAAGGACCCAGTAGCTTCTGCTCCAGGGGACAAGGTCCGCTCCCTCTGGAGGACCATTTTCCGTCCCTGCTGAGCGTGCATCCCGCTGTAGCCCGGTCCCTGCTGAGCGTGCATCCCGCTGTAGCCCGGGCCTTGACTCCAGCAGGTCCTTGCAGTTGGTCCCCAACACTGCGGGAACATTGACTACTCAGGGACGGAGTTTCTGAGCAGCTAGGGAGACGTGGGCAAGGGGAGCCTGAGGGGGAGTGGGACACTTGGAGCTTGGAGATGCCTGCGGCCCACTCACTCCTCCCTTGTCCTTCTTCCCACCCGCGTCTGCCTCCCGAGTACTAGGAGAAGCAGGCCCAGCATCTTTCTCTTACCCAGCACGGCAGTGGAGGCTGGCCCCAGGCTGTGTATGGGGGGGAGAGGGGAAAGTGTCAGCGAGGCCCCCACAGCTGGGTCCCACGGGGCTCTATCCGGATGTATCATTGATGGATAAGGACTCAGCTAGGCCTCAAAGTGGAGCAGAAGGCCAGCAGCCCTTCAGGGACTGCCGGTGACAGGGCAGGCAGGGAAATGGCTCTACAGGACAGGTCCGGGGTGGGGGTGGGGGTGCTATTAAAGAGAGTTCTAGCAGATGGCAAAATCTAGGGATCACTTCTTCCAAAGCAAGCAAGAAGCAAGACAAAGTCCAAAACCAGCACAACATGGTAACGCTCCCCCTCCTCAGGAATGCTTCTAAAAGCAGAGCATCAGCAACAGGTCTCAGCCTCCGGCTTCCTCACACCTCACCAAGGGCTACAGAAGGGCCACAGAAAGCTACACTGACGGCTTGATGGCGGTGGGGGGTGGGGTGGGCTGGGGGAGGTCGGACAGTCATCCTCAGGGCTCGTGCTTAGAGAGGCAGGGTTGGGCTTTGATCAGGTGAGCCAGACTGTGGCATGTGTTGGTCCTCTTTGCCTCTGTGCTCCGACCTAGGGAACAAGCAGTCAGCGGCTATCACAGGGCTGGTGGGGGGAAGGGGGTAGGTGGGTACGGAGGTTGGCTTTGAAAGCTGGGCACCTTAGCAGGACAGGTAGGCTGGCTCTCACAGGACTGCCACTTGCTGCTCAGCCCAGGGAGGGCTCAAAGTTCATTTGTCTTGGAGGTGGAGAGATGGCTCAGCAGTTAGTGTTTGTAGCTCTTGAAGAGGACCCATGCATGGTTCCCTGCACTCACGTGGTGGCTCACGTCCGTCAGTAACTCCAGTTCCTGGAGATTAGATACGCTCTCTTGAACTGGACAAGCATGTGGTGTACATACAGGCAAAACATCCATACACATAAAATAAAGTAAGTTAATTTAAAAAATTAAGGTTCATTGTCTTGTTTGTCCACCAAAAAGTAGGGCAAGCCCGAACTGTAGCCCAGGGGCAGAGCGCTTGCCCGGCACACACAAAGTGCTGCGTTCAATCACTGGCACTGCAAAAATAAATAAAGTCAATGGAGCGAGAGACGGAAGGAGGGAAAGCAGGCTACATCTCCACAGGCTCTCTCTCTCTCTCTCTCTCTCTCTCTCTCTCTCTCTCTCTCTCTCTCTCTCTCGTTTTGATGTAGGGTTTCGCTATATAGCTCAAGATAACCTCAGACAGGGTCTTGAACAGAACTGATGGCTCCCTGTTAATCTCACATGCTTTTGAATCCAAGTCTTTTTATCCAATGCATGCCCCCAGATGCCTCTTCCCCTCTCTCTCTCTCTCTCTCTCTCTCTCTCTCTCTCTCTCTCTCTCTCTCTCTCTCTCTCTCTCTCTCTCTCTCTCTCTCTCTCTCACACACACACACACACACATATTGTCACACAGGCTTCAAAATCCAATTGACTCAGAATAACAGAGTATCCCAAAAGTCTTAGTGTGGTCGTTTTAAGCTTTAATAACCAAAGAATTATAAACTTATGAATTTATAAGAAATATTATCTGATGACTGAAGTGCCTCATGCCTATAACCCCAGCACTCAAGAGCCAGGGACAGGATTGCTACAAGTTTGAGGCCAACCTGGTGAGTTGTGGATCAACCTGAGCTACACAGAAAGACAAAAGAAATAGCATTTGAAAGCTTATTTATTTAAACTTTTTTCCCCTGTCAAGTTGGCAAAACGGCTCTTAGTCAAAATTCACAAAACATAGTTAACATAAGAGAATTTAAATAATTAAGCTTTCAAAGTACATTTCTTTTTAAAATAATTTTTAAAGATTTATTTATTGTGTTTTATAGTGTTCTGCATGCGTGTATGCCTGCATTCCAGAAGAGGGCACCAGATCTTATTACAGATGGTTGTGAGCCACCATGTGGTTGCTGGAAATTGAACTCAGGACCTCTGGAAGAGCAGTTAAGTGCTCTTAACCTCTGAAACATCTCTCCAGCCCTTCAAAATACATTTCTTATAAATTTATTCCTTTATTTTTATACAATATCTGTAGTTATTAAAGCTTAAACCTAGCCCTTGGGAGGTGGAGAGAGAATCAGGGTTCAGCTTTAGCCTGAGATCCATGAGACCTGACTCAAAAAACAACACCACAAAAAGTTCAATGGTACTGACCCCGTGAGCCCTCCAGCTGGTTACCTAACCGTCAGTCCTTATCTGTAAAATAGGGACCTGACAAGCCATCCCAAATGCTAGTCTTTATTTCATTGTCATTGTTGAAGGCTATATAATACAGTATATTGAATAAGAACAAAGCCATATATCCCATTTGACCAGTGCCCTATCAGTATACATTTAGTGTTTCCAGTTTTCCAACAAAAATGAAATTTACATTCTGATGAGAATGCTGGCCTCTGCTTTGACTGTTTCCTCTCTCTCTCTCTCTCTCTCTCTCTCTCTCTCTCTCTCTCTCTATCTCTATCTCTCCCCCCCAAGACGTAGTCTCACCATGTGACACTGACTGGCTTGATACTTGCTACGTAGACCAGGCTGGCCTCGAACTCAGATCTACCTGCCTCTGCCTCCAGAGTGCTAGGTTAAAGGAATGTGCCACCATGCCATGTAGCCCTTTATTAGTGTGTGCATGTGTGGGTGAGTGGTGAGTGCCACGGCGTGCAGGTCAGAGGCCGGTTCTGGGGAGTATCTGTCTCTGCAGTTTTGTGTGGGCCCCTGAGACTGAACTCCGGGTTGCCAGGCTGTGTAACGTTTGCCCGATGCAGCTCAGCCATCTTGCTCTTGTGAGGAAGGACTCCCAGGGAGGAGCTGTGTTCGGCCTTAGGCCTCAGAAATTGCAACGCCAACTCAGTCCTCTGCCTCTGATTCAGGGCTCTCTCCACTCTCTGGTATTGCTGCAGCTTCTTAAAGGCCCCCAACATGCCCCTGTACCCACCCCTCAGCTGGGCCCATCAAGGCTGGGGTGGGGGAATTCTGGTTCCCTGAAAGACAGCATCCCTTCCTGTGTGGTGGCATAAGTGCTGGCAAGCAGACAGCTACTTGTCCCTCCTGCACTATTTTTATATCTTATGGGTTTCCTGTGGGGACCCAATCCAGCCTCCAGGGCCTTGGGTTGGAAGCTGTGGACAGGGTAGCCAGGAGACCCCGTGGCTATTTCTCCCCAGGAGTTTGACACAATGGAACTTAAGGCTTAGCTTTGGAGAAGCTGAGGGGGAGTGAATGGAGAGCCCTCCACCCACCCAGTCACAAGGCTGGGATCCAGGCCACCATGGACTTAGCCTGTGGTGGGGGTGGGAGTTAGCTAGCCTGGGCCAGTGACACAGCAGCTGGGGTGTTCTGGGAGCTGGCTGTCCTTGAACTTGTTGGCCATAGGCCAGGCCCAAAATAGCTCAGAGCTGAGCCCAGCCTGGGACAGACCTGTATGCACATGAACTTGAACTTGCGTACCAAGACACTGCTATGCAGGGGCATGCACTGCATTCTGCAAGCATCTCTCTGTGTGTCTCTGTGTCAGGCTGTGTCCTCGCAGATGGACACACAAGTGTTCACGAATGGGGTTGCTGCCTTGGAGTTGTGTGGCACAGGGGCCCATCTTTCCATCAGTGGAGGGCCCGGGGACACAGTTGAGTATTCACACTGGCACATGTCTCACCGCTGGACCTGATGTATGCACATGACGTGCTTATCTGTGGGGAGCCAAAGCAGGAGCCCGTGATGCCAGGAGGCAAGGACAGTCCTTTGGGTACTACCAGGAGGGCAGAACCTGGTTCCCAGTCAAAGACTATTTGGAAGAGAGGCTGGCCGGGTCTTGCCTTATTTGGAAGCTAATAAAACAGGGAGTGACTGCCTGTGAGGTAGATGACTCAGTGGATGGGGAAGTCCAGAGCTCAGTAGCCTTCCAAATGTCCCTGACCAGGAAGTCACACTGGCTAAGGAGGCTGGGACAACCCTCCCTTTCTTCCTGCCAGGAGCCCAGGCAGCCTCGCCTCTCTTCAGATGCTTACACAGATGAGGAAAACAATGCCCAGAGAGGGAAAGGGCCGGCTCGGAGCCACCTGGCACAGGACCAATTCCTTCCAGCTCATGCCCTGCCTGCTGAAAAGAGGTGGGCAGAGGTAGAGCGGGCCTCCAGGGGAATGACGCTCCCTCAGGGGCACAGGACAGGGTACGGAAAGCAAAGCTGGGGGGGGTGTTAGAGAGATGGGTCAGAGGTTAAGAGCACTGCCTGCTCTTCCAGAGGTCCTGAGTTCAATTCCCAGCAACCACATGGTGGCTCATAACCATCCTGATCTGATGCCCTCTTCTGGCATAAAGTTATAATACACGCAGATAGAGCAACCACTCTTAAAAAGAAAAAAAAAAAAAAAAAGCCTGGGCTGCTGAGTTGTTAGCTCAGTTGGGTTAGTGCTTGCTTGCAGGCATGAGGACCTGAATTTGATTCCCAAAACACATGTGAAAAAGCCAGGTGTGGTGGTACACACTTGGTCCTCACCGGCCAGTCCATCTAGCCTATGTGGCAGATCAAGGCCAATGTGAGATCGTCTCAAACATAAACAGGACAGCATCAGAAGAAATACTGCCACATATGCACACACATGTGCATCTGCATACATTCATACATATCGTATACACACAAAAGAGAAACCTATAATGCATTTACCCTTTTTAAAGTGTTTAAAAGAGAGAAAAGGCTGGAAGAGGAAGAGGTCTCGATCAGGTGGGGAGGGAAGAATAGGTTACTCTCTTTCCCAGCTGTCTCTTTCCCAGGCTTCTTCCCTCTGTGCTCGGGCTTGGAAGGGTTAAAAAACAATTCAGCCAGGCTCATCAGCTCCTAGAGGCTAGGTGCCACTGCAGGTGCAGGGTAAATAATAGAGCCCGGCAGCCAGACAGCAGTCCTCTTTGTTACAGGTTTCGACCACGCTCCCTTCTTCCAAGAGTTTGGTCTGGAACTGCGCTGCTTTTTCCAAGGTCGAAGGCGTTGGCAAGGAAACTGGCCAGCTTCAAGCTGTACCCGGAATGGATGCAGAGGGCCTTCTTCAAGGTCACACACAGCTATAGCTGCTACCGAAGGACGCCCAGCTTAGGGGCTGGGGTCTTCATGGTCGACTGCTCTAAGCAACAAGTTACTCGATTATATACCAAGGACTCCTTCGCTGGGGTGTGGGGGTGGGGGTGGGTGACCCAAAAGGGTCGGCAAGGTCTCCAGGCTGCAGCCCGAGCAGAGTCGGTGGGCAAGGAAATCCGGTGGCCCCAGGCACCGCGCGCCGACCTCGGATCCGGGAGGGGAACCTAAGAGGCGAATGACAGCCAGGGTGCGAACCTCTGCAGTCTGGCGGTGGCGGGAGAAGCGCCGGTAGAGAGTTGTTGGCGCGGGGACAATCCGAGGCCGCGCCCCGCCTCCTCGGAGGCGCCCCCGCGCGAGCAACACCCCGGGGCGGGGCGCGGAGCGGGAGGGCGGCGGGGCGCGGAGCTGCGCGGCCACTCGCGGCACCGCGGCGCCTGGCGCAGGTAAGGGCGCGCTTCGGTGGGCGGGGTCCGCTGGCCCACGAGCTCCGCGGCGGGTGGGGTCTCTCGCCTGCTCCCGCTGCCATGGTCACGATCCCTCCATCTTCGGTCTCAGCGGAGTTCTTGGCTTCCTCCTCCCTGTCCCAGGGTCACCCAGCTTCGGTTTAAACGCAGCGCGGGGTCCAAACCCATGCTACAGTGAGGAGCGCTAGCTCAGCGCAGTACGGCCTGGCCAGGACCCGGGTGCCGGTGTATCACCCAGAGGGAGAGGCTGCCAGGAAGAGGTGACGCTGGCTGGTCAGGGCGGAAGGGTTGACAGAGAAGGTGTTGTTGCCTGCCTGGGAGGAGCGCTAGACAAATGCCCAAAGGTTGGAGCGGAGTAGTTTAGGCAACTCCAGGGACTGCGCGGGGCGGGCAGAGGAAGGAGAAGCTGGGACAAACACAACTGCAGAGACTGGGAGGCAGCTAGGGCCAGAATTTTGTGCCGGCGGAGACGCAGTGGCTGGGAGGGCAGGTGTGACAGTTCCGTGCACTTCCTTCCCTGGGGCAGACGCTCTATCCGCAGGCCGCTGGGCATGTAGGCTGAGTAATGGGCCTCCAGCAGGGTCTAGGAACAGGCGTCCACAGCAGAAATAAGGTCCATTCCAGTCCAGACCAGGAAATACCAGAGTGAGTGCCATGCTAGGGTGCGGCGGAGGGGCCTGAAGGGCCAGGGCTGGGTGAGGGCCGGGAAGGCCCCAGTGACCCTGCTGGGGGCGGGGGCAGCCTGGTGTGGACAGAGGCCAGGAATGTAGAGGAGAGGAAGCAGGTCCGACTACTGTTCAGATGGCCACAGGACAATAGCTGACTCACCTGTGCACGACCCAACTTCCTTGTTTGGCTCCTCAGGTCTACCTGGCATGAGGCAGGAGGCTGGGCCCTCAGGAATGCACTGGGCATCTCAGTGAGTCACCCAGCATCTCTGGGCCACTTGTTCTGGTGATCCTGTTAGATCTGGGAGTCAGAGGCTAGGGTCTGAGCTCCGCACTTGATCTACACATGGTGTCTCTAGACTCTCCTGGACCTTCCGTGCCTCAGTTTCCCCCCTTGCACAACCTGCCACTAAGGACCCCAGAGTTGGCCAGAGGGGGATGGGATGGGTGGTGGGCCCAGGGTTAGCGGGAGGGTGGTACCTAGCCTTCTGTTATCCCTCACAGCAGTCTCAAACACCGGAGACTCCCTCCTCAGACACCCAGTCTCAGGTGCAGTCTTCCCGGGCCCCCTTTTCTCGGGGTGATGAGATTTCCTGGGGTGCAAATCCTCCTGGGGCTGCAGACCTGTAAAGCACTGTAGGGTAGTGGCTACTAGCCGGTGTCTGTAGGATCTTCCCAGGACCAGTTTGTGCTTTGGGGCGTTTGGGGAGGCGGAGCTTAAGAACTGGTTCTGTGCCAAAAGAAGTTTCTCTCTACAATTTGTTCTTTTGGGGGGTGACCACAGTAGTTTGAAGTGTTCTGATCTGGCTAGATCTCCATTTCAGAGAGGCTCAGGGATGGGGACAAGAGGTGACATAACAGGCTGAGATGCCTCACTTGGGGAGAGCAGGTGAGGTGTGGGCTCGATTCCAGGGTAGTTCAAGGTTGCAGCGATAGACCTTCTGTTCTGACAACTTCTGGAAGCATGGTTGAGGGCCAGGGAGGTCCAGGCCATGTGACACGCTGTAATCCCCCTGAACCTGACCTCCCTGCCCTCCACATGTGTGCAGGGCACTGCTTTATCGGCCAGCAGAGATGGCTGCAGCTGGGTGTCCATCAGTTTCCTTTTCCTGGCTCTCCTCCCCACAGCCTCACCCTCCCCACACAGCAGGAAAGGAAGGGCAGGAATGCCTGGGCCCAGAACCAGGGCCAGAGTCCTGAAGTTCCCGCCCTCCTCTCTTCTGGAGCCAATTCTCTCAGAGTCCTGGGTTCTGCCAGAGACCTGTGATGTTCCTGTAGCGTCTTTGGGGTAGATTCAGGAAGACTGATCCCTCTTCCCATTTTCTGGGGTCTGCCTAATGTCACCTGCCCATCCTCCGCTGTCTTGATGCCGTCTCTTGCCTTACCCAGGTAGGCTAATCTCATTGATTCTGAGCGTAAGGACTAGGCAGAGTGAGGACACTTGAACTCCACCCTCAGGTGGAGTCCCAAAGTCTTCTCAGGCCAGGCAGTTGGCACAGATGACCACCCTTGCCAAGTGAGGTCAGCAAGGGCTGCTGGGAGAGGCTTTGCCTGAGCAGGGCTCAGAGAGCCCCGCTGTGGAGGTGGTGCAAGCGTGTATCCTCATCACCCTTGCCTTGTGTCAGGTGCTGCATGGCTGCCTGCTTAGAAGATCCCTCGCTTAGGGCAGGGCTCTTCAAGGCCCCAGCTGCCTGTCCGCCTACCCCAGTGACCCTGCTCCTGAGAGGGACCCGTCCGGCAGGCTCAGTCTTGTTCGAGGATGCAGACATACAGAGTCTGAACTTTCTCCTTGCCTGGCCCCATCTGTCACCTGTCATCGGGTTTGTCTTGCTGAGTCTGATGTTTGATCTGCTGTTATCTTGTTCTGAAGCCCTCCGTGATCTTCAAGGTTGACTGAGGCCAATTCAAGCTTGTCTGCTGGCCAAGGAAGGTGGGCCATCCTCACAGGCTGGGCCAGCACTCCCATGAGTCTTTGCTTTTATTTCTCCCTACTATGCTATCACCTTCTTCCCCCTCCTCCTCTCCCTCCCTCCTGTAGCTGTTTCTTTCCAACCCAATCCCTCAGATGATTCACCCCAAATAAACACACAGATGCTATATTAATTATAAAACTGTTGGCCCATGGCCAGGGCTTCTTACTGGCTAGCTCTGTCTGAATTATTAACCCATTTCTATTAATCTATGTATTGCCACAGGCTGTGGCTTACCTGTAATCCAGCAGGTTACTCATTGGGCAGCATCGTGTCTCTTTGCAGCCTCCCTCTCTGCCTGTCTATCCCTGGCCTTCTCCTGGTCTGGTAACCCCACCTATGCTTTCTGCCTGGCTATTGGACAATCAGTGTTTGATTCATCAACCAATAAGAGAAACATATATACAGAAGGACGTCCCCCATCACTCTCCTTCTCTTTCCTTCTTTCTGACAAGGTCCCAGGCTGCCCTCAAATTCCCAGCAAACTCCTGCTGCCTCCACCTCCCCAGTGCTGGGTCTACGGATTGTCCCCACACGCTCTGCTGTTCATCCTTGTCTCTCCTTTGTGGCTTCAGCAGGCCGCCTCCAGAGGCTCTTGTATCAAGTCTTTCCTGGCTTACTCAGCTCTATCTAGTGACAAGGAACCTGAGCCTGGCCATCATGATATTGTTGAACTCTTCCAATAGCATGCATGTCCCTTTCCCCAATGACTGCATAGTCCCTGAGTGGGGACTTTCACTGGAAAAGTTGCCAGGGCAAAGAATAACTAGGTGGTCGTCTCCTTGGGTGCATGGATCCACAGCAGGGTGTGGAGTGTAGGTGGAGGCTTCTGTTCTGCCTGGTCCAGCAGCCAACTCATCCCAAATAAACGCTATATTGATTATAGAACCGTTGGCCGATGGCTAGGTCTTCTTACTGGCTGACTCTCTTAATTATTAACCCACTTCTATCAATCTAAGTATTTCTCAAGATCTTATCTTACCTGAGAAGTGCCTGAACCTGTTACTCCTTCTTGGCTACATGGCACCTCTTCTCGGCCTTTCTCTGCCTTCCTACCCAGCATTCTCCTCCTCTGGTAGCCCTGCCTGTACTTCCTTCCCGGCTACTGGCCAATCAGTGTTTTATTCATCAGCCAATAAGAGAAACATATATACAGGAGGACATCGTACTCTTGGGTGGAAAGGGATACACCCCTTGGTAGTTTCCAACTCTCCCATTCCAGGGCCCCATCAGAGAGCAGGGCAGAGGTCGGGGGCCAGAATAGATCTCTTTGAGAGAAGCTGGGCCCAGTGAGAGTCTGATGTGGATGGTTATGGGACTTGCTTCTGAGAACTGGGAATGATATTGGTGACCCTGTCATGTTCTCTGGCTATGACCTGTGTCCTTCCTGTCCAGTAGGCCTTGTGTCTCACACCCTGGCTATGTGTAGCTCTGAGGAGGCAGACTTGCTTCGACTGGAGGAGGTCTTCTCAGCCACCCTTGCCCGCACCAACAGTCTCATTCTCCAGCCCCTGCTCTCAGCTGGTGAGTCCGGCCCTCGGTGGGGAAGGGAGGGGACACAGGGGTGGCTCCTGGGATTAGAGTTCTGCCTTGTGAGACATTCTGAGGCAGCTTTCTCAGCCTCAAGGGGGAGTGGTGGCACTTGATACTGCCATCTCTTGATGGAGCTGAGGCCTTGACCACAGGGAACCAGAGGTTTCCTTCCCAGATGGCCTCTGAGGACCGCAGGTCTGGATATACCGCTTGCCTGGCTTCCGTTCCCACTCAGGGACGGCTAGACTAGAAGGCAGAACGTATAAGGCTTTCACCTGGGGAGTTTGGTGTTCCCTTGTCACGTGCCTTCCTCTCACTGTACATCTATAAGGTGGCTGGGGTCACATTTTGCATCTGGGTCTGGAGAGAAGAGGTGGAGACTCAGGGGAGCTAGGAGACTTGGTGCCTCCGAGATGATTACAGTTGTCCTGTTAAATAGGAGGCGTACACACAACCCTGCGTATGCAAGGGTTCAGCCCTTTACCCTGTATGCTCTGTACCCCCACCCCAGGATCTAGGGGTGCTAGCACTGTCCTGAGCACCCCAGCTCAAGGTAGCCGTGCTCTTCACAGACCCGGAACCCTCAGACCCCTGTGGCCGAGAGTGCCTTGGGCTTCTGCAGCAGCTGCATGAAAGTTCCCAACGGTTATGGGAGGTGACGGAGCAGAGCCTGCATTCGCTGCGACAGAGGCTACACCACCCGCCCTCTGTGGGTCTGGAGACCCTGCTGTTACTGAACAGTGCTGACCATGTCCTGCAGGCCCACATGGAGTAAGACCCTCCCTGGGGCAGCCTGTCGCTTGGCCAAAGTGCCACCTCCGTCACTTGGCCCTAAGGGGCAGCTGGAGTGGGGTTCCGATGGGCTTGGGTGTTGGCATGGCCGCAGGCTCAGAGGCTCAGACCTGGATCAGGTCTGTAAGATACAACTGCCGAGTTAGGGCTTGAGGGGTCACGGAATTGCCTGGGCCACAGGGTTCTGGCTGCGCAGTGGGTGATACCTGGGACCCAAGGGTGGGAGCTGGGCGTGCTAGGAGCTGGGCTTTCAAGGTGATCCTGGGTTGTCCATAGGTACATCAAGTCGTATACTGACTGTGTGGTGGTGCAGGCCTTCCAGAAGGTCTCCAAGAGGAGGAGGTGAGCCCGGAGTGGCCATGGTAGCCCCCTGTGTGGGTGTGGGTATCTAGGTGAGGGGGATTTGAGGAAGCCCACCCCAAAGGAGCAGGTGGCTGCAGTTGGTGTCCCTATCTCCCCTGAGGTGGGGCTGGGGGACTAACGGGGTACAGGGTTGGGGTCCTGGGTCTGAGAACCGGGAGAGCGGTTAGAACAGGGGTGAGTGTGGGCTGGGAAAGGGTGAGGGTAGTATGTGGCCCTTCCTAACTGCAGCGAGTACTGGAGGAGCCAGTGGAAGAAGCTGCAGCAGCTGCTGTCCTGGGCGAGCTCTGAGGGCTCGGTGGGCACCACACTGTGCCAAGCCCTCAGCCAGCCGCTCACCCAGCATGTGCAGAAATACATCCTCCTCCTCTTGAGCCTCAGGGACACCCTCGACAAGGTTGGTACTGAGAGGAGTCCAAGGATGGATATGTGGAAGGGGAGGAGAGAGAGGAGAGGCAGGGCTCAGAGGGCCAGGTTAAGCAGTAGGGAGGGGCCCTAGGAGAGCATAGCCTTGGGGGGGGGGCCCTGGGGGCAAGAGCCTGCCCTGTGGAATCTCGGACACATGGCTCTGCTTTGATGGGGGCAGGTGACACTCAAAGAGCACACAGAGTTCTCTACTGGGCTGTGAGGACGTATGACCCAGGGCCATGCGATTGATGTCACTGAAATGCCCTAATCCATCTCGGAAGCATCTTAATGCTCCCTCCCCGCCCCTAGAAGGGTAGTCAGGGAGAAACGTAAGTGAGGCCAGGCTGGGGCCCTCATGGCCATCACCGGGATGGGGACTGGTTCCAAGACCCTCAGACCCTTCCCACCTGCCCTGTCCTTCCACAGCGCCACCCAGCCCAGGAGCTAGTGTTGCATGCAGTCACCCTGTTTGGGAACCTGCAGTCCTTCCTGGGGCAGGCCTTGGACCAAGCTGTGGCCACACAGGCCCTGTGGTACAGCCTCACCAGCCGGGTGAGGGTGAGTCTGGGGCTTTGGGACACTCAAGGAAGAGGGTTCTACACTGGGTGTGAGGCTGGGCTGGGTGTCTTGAGTAGCTCCCTGCCTCAGTTTTCCCATCTGGAAGGAAGGCCGCATAGAGGGAACTCCTACCCCGCAGCAGCTGGCTCCAGAATGTTGGCACATAGCCTTGGCCTGCCTTTTGTCTTCAGCAGCTTCTGTTAAGCAAATGTAAATCCTGCCTGAAAGTTCTGAAAGGTGCAAAGCCTATGCAAAACTTGGTTGGAAAAAAAAAGTCCCCAGAAAACCTCCCTGGGTATTCCTTATCGAGAATTTGCATTTGGCATTGTCCTTTGGAAGCTGGATTAAGATGTTGTGGGGATATGGAAATTAACTGGCTAAGGTGTAAATTGGTGAACAGTAAGGAAGCCCTTGGCTAAGGAAAAGTATCTCAGCAGTCTCAGTCCACAGAGGCTGAGTCCCCTGCAGCAGGAAAGGCTATTTCATTACTACGGTGCCTCTGGGCTTCTTCTGTGGACTTGCAAAGCAGCTGAAGACTGATATAACCCGGTGCCTGTCACCCTTAGCCATCTGCTGGTGCCACCAATTACACATGCCTGTCACAGTCTAGCACAAGAGTCCTTATGTCCCCAGAAGGCATGACAGGCTTGGACCAGTAAGTAGAGAGGGCCAGAATAGCCATGGGAGACAGGTTATAGCATATGGGTGAGGGTAACAGGAACCCTCTGGCTGTGACAGGGTGCAGTATGGAGACACCAAGGAAAATCCCAGAGAGAGAAGCTATACTGCCCTTCTGGGCTAGCCCAGGGATGACCCCCACCCCCATCTTGGGGCGTCGTGTGTGTGTGTGTGTGTGTGTGTGTGTGTGTGACAGAGAGAGAGAGAGAGAGAGAGAGAGAGAGAGAGAGAGAGACAGAGACAGAGAGACAGAGAGACAGAGAGACAGAGAGACAGAGAGAGCTGGGGCCTACCCCAGGCCTGCTGGGAGGGAGAGAGAGAGAGAGAGAGAGACAGAGAGAGAGAGAGACAGAGAGAGAGAGAGACAGAGAGAGCTGGGGCCTACCCCAGGCCTGCTGGGAGGGAGAGAGAGAGAGAGAGAGAGAGAGAGAGAGAGAGAGAGCAGAGAGAGAGAGACAGAGAGAGAGAGAGACAGAGAGAGCTGGGGCCTACCCCAGGCCTGCTGGGAGAGAGAGAGAGAGAGAGAGAGAGAGAGACAGAGAGAGAGACAGAGAGAGAGAGACAGAGAGAGAGAGACAGAGAGAGAGAGAGACAGAGAGAGCTGGGGCCTACCCCAGGCCTGCTGGGATGGCCTCTGGGAGGTGTCTAGGGTACGGGGGCATGTGCACGGTTGGTCGTCATCCTCAAGCAGGGGCACCTGAACCCCTTGCCTCCCTCTTCAACCCACCAGGATGTGCTTTGTACCCCCGCTCACCGCCTCCTCCAGGACAGCCAGGACATCCCCGTGGTGGTCACCCCGCTGCGGGCTGAGCGCGTGCTACTCTTTGATGATGCCCTTGTCCTGCTTCAGGTTAGGAGGAGATAACCTGAGGTGTGGTTCCGGGTTAGAAAGTGAACAGGCCACAGGCTTGGAGACGGGGAGGGGCGAGAGAGCCGCGTGCTGGAAGCTGGTGGCGCTCCAGAGGGTGGGGCAGTCCACTCTGGACAACCTGTACTCCTCATCTTGCAGGGCCACAATATCCACACTTTTGACCTGCAGTTGGTGTGGGTAGACCCTGGCCCAGACAAGTGAGTGACTTCCCTCCCTGTGCCCTGTGATAATCTGCTCACACCTCCAGGCTCCCACGTGAGCCCCACTTCCAATCCTAGAGGAGCTGGGGCTCACTGGTCACCTCCGTGTGCCTAGGCGTGCGCTTCGAATCCTCACGCCTGAGGAAGAGCTCTCCTTTTGCACCAGAGACCCCCGGGACCAGGTGAGTGAGGTTGAAGCATGAACAGCCGGGATCAAGCCAGAGGCCAGGGGAGGGCAGAGTACCAGCGCTACAGGGCTACAAGGGCATCAGGGGTACGCCTAGGGACCGCTTTCAGGATGGTAGAGGAAGAGGAATTTCCCGCCAGTAGGCTGAAGTAGAGGCCTAAGTAGGTGCCTGTTCCCAGCCTCTCGCGTAGCCTCTTGTCTAGTCCCTGGGCTACTCAGGTCTGGGGTCTGACGCCATGCCACAGAAGGGCAGGCAGTGTCCCTGGGGACAGAGCGGTGGGGAAGGACCTAGGTGCCCCACGAGGCCTCTGGAGCATTGCTGTAGCAACAATGACATGTTCACTGCCTTCCTGTTCCCATCAGGTGGTCTGGCAGTGGAAAGTGACTCAGGCCGTGTGCCAGGCCCTGCATGGCAAGAAGGACTTCCCTGTGCTGGGGTCCGGCCCGGAGGCATCCGTACCCCCTGACTGCCGCTGCTTGGCCTATACTTTCCGCCGTGAGGGCCGGCTCTACCAGGCTACCTATGAGGGTGATTGGTGCCGGGCCAAGCCCCATGGCAAGTGAGTCACCTGTGCCGCAGGGCTAGCGCTTCCAGCGGATTATCAGAAATTCCATCGACCAGGAGTTTTTTCAAGCTTGACATTTAGTTCGCCACCTCCTGTGGTTCAAGGGGAAAGGCGAAGGTAGATGTTTCCAGGGCTCTCCCCATGAATGGCGTCTAGAGTACTCCAGAGCCTGCTGGTGGTGGTGGGAGCTTTCTGTGAGGGGTCTCAGTGCTCAAGCGAGGGCTAGGTGAGCAGAAAGTCTAGTTGGAAGAACCCAGGGTAGAGGAAGGAAGGGATGCCGCGAGTCTGGGGTGCAGCTGTCTGGGGATGGGTCTGGAGACTTGATGCAGTGGACCTCGCCTGTGTTCCAGGGGAACCCTGAAGTGGCCGAATGGGCGTAACCATGTGGGGGATTTCTGCCAGGGCCTGGAGAATGGGTAAGACTGACTGGGCAGAGCCTCCAAAGCCACAGAGAAACCCTGTCTCAAAAAAACCAAAAAAAAAAAAAAAAGACTGACTGGGCAGATGGAGACAGGTGCGGCAACCAGGGGAGCTGCCATACCCTGGACTGCCCCAATCCCCAAACCTCAAGCAGGAGCGGGCAGGTGGCCCAGCTCTTGTCACCACAGAAGGGGACCCTGACTGGAATAGGAATGTGGGTCTCAGCCCGAGACTGGCTTCCCGTGGTGGGGGAGGGGTGGCCTGAGGATTTTTTGCAAGGGAACAGGGGACTCTGAGATCTTCTGTTTTTTTTCTGGGGGACTCCTTGGAGACAAGGACAGCTGGGTGGCATGGAGGGATGTGACAGGGACATCTGATCAGGCAAGTGGCCTGGATACTCACTTCCGACCCCACCCAACTACACGGTCAGCTTTGGCATCTGCCTGGTGCCCCAAGACTCTGAGGACAAGTTTGACTGTTACAAGTGCCACTGGCAGGAAGGCAGCATGTGTGATTATGGCGTCTGTGAGTAAGTGACCTTTGACCCGGAGAAGAGGGGGATGGGGAGGGGCATCCTCTGGACCGAGCCCCCTTGAGGTGGAGCCGACCGCTGGTGTATTTCTCCAGGTACGGCAATGACGAAGTGTACAAGGGCTATTTTCAGGCCGGCCTTCGGCATGGATTCGGTGTCCTGGACGGTGCCCAACAGGCCTCCCAACCCTTCAGGTACACGGGCCACTGGGAGAGAGGCCAGAGGAGCGGCTATGGCATTGAGGACAACAGTGAGAGGTAATTGCTGGCACAGAGAAGCCACAAGTCCAGCCGGCTGAAGCCGCGGGCTCTCTCTAGTGCCCCCACCACCACCACTCCCGCCCCGCCCCGCCTGGGTCCCTCAGTCTTTGGTTCTGTCCTGGGAGGCCTGCCTCCACGGAACCTCCCTCCGCCTATGCTTCGTGCCACCTCTAGGGGGCCCCACCCCGCATCCCTTCTCTGCCATCCTCTGCTCTCCTTGGGTTCTTCATCTTCTCCTGTCACCGCCTGTCTCCCCCGAAGCCCCTGCCAGCAGAGCTTCCAGAAGACACAGGGGAACCATTTTGAGTCCCCTCCCCCTTCCTCTTCCCTTAGGGGTGAGCGCTACATTGGCATGTGGCAGGCTGACCAGCGCCATGGCCCTGGGGTTGTGGTCACCCAGGCAGGGGCCTGCTATCAAGGAACATTCCAAGGGGACAAGATGGTTGTGAGTGGTGGCCCCGCCCCTGGGCACTCCGTTGGGTGGATGACAAGGAATGCTCGGCCATGCCAACCATCTGCTCTGACTTTGGCAAGACCCAGCCTCGCGTCCCCTAGCTTCAGCTCAGGGCGATGGCGTTTATTGTAGGCTAGGTGCTTATTGTGAGCTAGGAAGAACCAGTGTGTCACTGGTCAGCTGGTGGCATCCATAGACCCCGCGCTAGCCCTAGCTGTCCTTAGCGTATGAACGGCACACGTTTATTGATGACAGACACCAGAGAGCCTGCTGAGACTGAGGTCAAACCCAAGCCCTCCAGCTCCTACCTTTGCCTCTCGGCTTGCCAAGGGTTTGATGTGTGGTGGGTGGGGCTCTGGCCATCGGCTGTGCATGACTCTGTGGGTTGGTTGTTTAGACTCCACCTTGTTCTGGAGAGAACTGAAGGAGACCTCAGAAAGAAAGGTCAGGAAAGGCAAAAATAGGCCCACAACATAGTCAGAAACAAGTTGAACATGAACTTGTCCATGCGTTTCCTGGCAGGTGTAGGAGTAAGGGGACTTGATTGGCCCTCAGGACCCAGGGCAGGGACAGGGAGTGGAAAGGAAGCCAGCACTTCCTGAGGAGCAGCCACGTCTGAGGGTTAACTGCGGGGTCCGTGGGGCTCGGCACGTCTGGGGCAGGCAGTGCAGGGCTGGGTGCTCTTGGCCCTGAGGGCCAGTGTCCACACACCCTGTGTTTCTATCCAGTCTCACCCCCTGCCGCCCCTTTCTCTGGCTTCCTTTCAAGGGCCCAGGCATCCTGCTATGTGAGGACGACACTTTGTACGAGGGCACTTTCACCAGGGACCTGACACTCCTAGGGAAGGTGAGAGCCATCCGCTTCTCATCCTGCCCCCATGAAGCCGGGGCTGGGGCTCGGTAACGGATGGGCGGCTGGAGAATGCCCCTGCTGCCCCTGTGGTCTCCAAGGGGCTCCATGTCCTTGCCAGGGTGCATGCAACATTGACTAACAAAGCAAGGTGACAAGGGACTGCAGCATGTGCCTCATGCCCACAGGGCACAGACGACTGTGTCTGTGCTTCACCATTAGGCAGCCATCACCACCCGAGCCTTGGGCCACTGTCCCTGTGGTCACTGTTCGTTCTTTCTTCCTGCCTAAGCTGACGTAGCAAAAGGCAGTTGTGTCCATGCTGAGGCCTTTGGAAACTTGGGGATAGTTTTGGATGCAAAGGGATAGGTGGGTCTCGTGCACCATGAGTGGATCAACTCCACACAGCCAGAAATTGCTCATCTAGATCCCTGGGCCAAGCTACCCAGCCTCACAGCAGAGGTTGGGTAAGGCTTCTAGAATGTTCCAGCACCTTAAATGGACAGGTAGAACACATGCTCAGACGTTTCCTACTGACCCACCCAAGGAGGCCCAACATTGACACACTTGGCCGGGCAGCTGGCCGGGCACTCAGACATACCTGTCCTTTTCTGCTCCCAGGGCAAGGTCACCTTCCCCAGTGGCTTCACCTTGGATGGTTCTTTCAGCAGTGGGACACATAAAGGACTGTACACACAGGGAGTGCTGGACACAGCCGCCACCCCTCCCAACCCAGCCAGTACGCGCAAGAGGTGAGAGCCCAACCTGTTTGGTCCCGTGTCTCTCCTCACCCAAGGCCTCAGGGCTCGGTGGGGGCTTTTTGCCACAGAGCTCCAGAGCCCCAGGGCTTCCAGTCGGAGGCTCTTGAAGTCTAGGGCTAAAGTGGATGTACTGCCATACATAAACTGGGAGAAAAAAAAGGATTTCTACGTCTTACTTTGACCCTGGTTTTAGCTTTTCTTCTTTCTAGAAAGGATACAAGATAGTTTCCAAGTCAAATACACAAAAAAAGAATAGAAAATAAAATTGTGAGTCTATCCTAAAAGGAGTAGATACATCGTTATCTAGATATAGTCATAGTGTACCTTACTGGCTCTGACTTCCCCTGCACACAAAATGAAGGAGGAAGGAAACTTGGTATGTAGACTCGCTCTCCCAAAGCGGTAGTTTGTGAGACAGACTATTTTCCTGTGAAAGTAGAACTCCCTTTGAAAACTCATAGTTCAGGTGGAAAAACTCTTGCCATATTTGTTGAGAATCTGGGTGTGTTGAGGGAAGAATAATGGAAAATGATCCCATAAGAATTTCAGAGGCAGGGAGGGGATACAGCAGACTCGTCAACCTGTTGTCCCTGCATGCTGCTCCTCTGTGATAGCAGGAGCTAGGAGAGGACAGCGGCCCTGGAGAGGTCTGCCGCAGCCTGGCAGGTGCGGGTGAGGGTCACCTGTGAGGTGGCAGCACCATAGGGCTCCCTTTGTGAGACTTATAGTTGTCCTCACTCAGCCTGTTGACGAGACAGGATCCACCGCAGGGTGGCTGTGGGAGAGGGCAGGGCAGGGAAACCTGGACTTCCAAGCCCTGGTCCGTCTTGATCCAAGGCCAGCTGTCTGGATTTGGGTCCTGGCTCTCCAGGCCCTTTGCAGAGCTATGCACCCTGCTCCCTCACCTCAGAACAGGTGCTCATGCGCTCAGCCTCACTGTCTCCTCCACTTGCCTTGGAGGTCAACTCGTCTCCATCCGGCCTCACTCCCAGGCTGGGCGCCAGGGGCTTCCTGCCTCCTCTCCATCTCCCACATCTCTTGTCTTCCCCAATCACAGACAGCTGGGGCTGGGCGCCTTCCCTGTGGAGAGCCGCTGGCAGGGAGTCTACAGACCTTTCCAGGACTTTGTGCGTTCAGGCTGTCCTGGGGAACTGCAGGAAGCCCTCTTGGGCTTCCATGTGCAGAGCTCCAGGGAGCTCCGCGAGTCCCAGGAGTACCTGAGCTGTGAGAGGTGAGCCTGGCCCTCCGGATGTCCCTACAGGTCAGAGAGGGGTTAGGGAAGCTTCTGGGGATGGGTGGGTGCTGGCTCAGGGGTGGGTGAGGGACGCTGTGCATGGTGCCCCAGGAGCCACCCCAAGGACTGTGCGGGCAGCATGGAAGACATCCTGCAGGAGCTGCTGCAGCACCGCGAGCCCCAGGCCCTGCAGCAGTACCTCAGGAAGGTGAGGGTCCCGGCCGGGGGGGGGGGGTGCTCCTGCATCTCACAGCATGGTGCTAACTAGAGGGGACAGGCCCATGGTGCTCCTGGTCCTCAGAGGACCTCAGTGTTCCTGGTCTGGGAGGCTGGTCTGGGTTCACTGTGTTGCACACCCTGGGTCTAAGCGTCCATGTTCTCTCCATGGGACTAGGCTCTGAGCAATTCCCGGCACCCCCTGGGGAGGTTACTCCGTACCCTGATGCTGACCTTCCAGGCCACATATTCAGGCATAGGAGCCAACAAACACCTACAGGGGATGGCCCAGGAGGAGGTGAAGCAACATGCCCGGGAGCTTTGGGCTGCCTACAGGTGAGCCTGGGCACAGGGTGAAGAGCCCTGCCTAGGGCCTGGCCCAGGATTGCCCTTTCCAAGGCTTGGCTCGGTCCCATGTCTAGTCCCTGGGCACACCCCTGCCCCATAAGAACTCTACCCTTACTGTAGCCTGAGTGTGACCCAGGTCTATGTATCCTGTCCCAGGTAGAACCTAGATCCTATGAGCATTACGGTAGGAGCTTCAGCGGCCGCTAGAGTGCCAGGACCCTCCAGCCTTGGACCCTCAGACGCTGCAGGCGTCCGTCCACATCTAGGCAGCCAGTTCTGGAGATGGGGCCACCTACTCTCCGTTTTGGTGACTGGGAGGGTGGAATTCTGTTTCTGTGGGCAGCGGCCGCGTCATGCTCCTCTCATTGGCTTGCAGGGGTCTGCTGAAGGTTGCTTTCCAGCGCCAGGGCCAGACCCTGGAGGAGGAGGACGTGGAGACAAGGTTCCTGATCAGACCTTTGCATCTGGGGCCTCCCTCTGGGTGGCAGTGCTTCTTGGGAACGCCCTGGGCATGTGTGCTATTCACCAAGCATGGTGCATTGACTGTTGGTACATCATAGTGACCCGTGACCTGGAGCTGTGCCACCACGCACTAGATATCTTTGTTCTAAATGTGCCTTTCCAGCCTTGTGTTTGAGTTGTACAAAGGGGGAAGCAGTTGCCAGAGGCCTCCTCCTTCCTTTGCACCACGAGACTGAGGCATGGAAGACATGGGCCTAAGGTCACTTAGAGCAGGAGTTAGCTGACCCCGGGACACTCTAGTTCTGTGGGTGTGTAGGTGGCCCCGGCAGCAGTGTCTCCCACCCATTGTGGCCCCACAGGAACCTGCAGGTGCACGGGTTGCTGCTGCCCCTCATCTTACCCAGCTTCTACTCGGAGCTCTTCACACTCTACCTGCTTCTTCACGAGAGAGAGGATGGGCTGTACAGCCAGGGCATCACCAACCTCAGCCTGTTCCCTGACACGAAGCTGTTGGAGTTCCTGGATGTGCAGAAGTAAGCTTCTCACCCACTCACCAGAGCTCTGGAGGGGCAGACGGTCCTACCAAGCTCAACTGCGAGCTGTACCAGGCTTTCTTTGGGGTCACCAACCAGATTCCAAATCATGACATAGAGACTTATTGTTAGTCATGAATGCTCCGTCTTAGCTTAGGCTCGTTTCTTGCTAGCTCTTATAACTTAACCTGTTTCTCTTCATCTACGTTTGCCTAGAGGCTTTTACCTTTCTTCTGTATATCTTACTTTCACTGCTTCTCGTGTCTAGCTGGTGGTTGCCTGGCTTCTGGCTCTGGGCGTGTCCCTCTCTTTCTCCCTTATTTTCTCCTCCTATAATTCTCTCCACCTGCCAGCCCCACCTCTCCTTCCCCTATTGGCTGTTTAGCTTTTTATTAGACCAATCAGGTAGCTCAGGCAGTCAAGGTGAAACAAATGCAACACATCTTCACATAGTTAAACAAATGCCGCATAAACAAAAGTAACACACCTTTACACAGTTAAAAATAATATTCTGCTGTCGCAGACGCGACATTCTGCAGCATAAACAAATGAAGCATCTTTGCCTCGTTGTATTCCACAACCGTGAGGTGTGCTCATTCAGACACACAGCACAGGGCTGTGGGGCACACAGTCAGATGCAGCCAGATCAAGGTGCTCAGCCACCCACAAAGGAAACCACCTTTGCCTCCCCGCTGGCTTTGCCCGAGCACCGCACCAGACACCTCAGGCTTATTGCCTCTGGCCCAGTCCCTCCACTGTTGCCAGAGACAGCTGGCATTTCCTGCTCCTTAGCTCCAGCAGCTCTCTTGGTGTCCCTACCCTGGGTGCTGGCCAGCCTTGACTGGGCCTGCCTCCAGATCCACCGGAGGAGAGGTTGTCATGGGAAACTGCCCGTGTCCTGGGAGCAGGTCAGACAGGTGTTTACCATACTCTGGTCACTAGAGTCTAGAGCCTCCCTCGTCCTCCCCCACCCCTTCTGCCTCTCATACATGCTTCTTCCCTAGTGACCCCTCTGACAGTGTGGTCACAAGTGCTTGGTTGTCCCTGCTGGGATCTCAGGTGCTCCCACAGCAGTGAAAGATCACTTCTCCCAGGACTCCATGGCTTCTTCTCCTGGCTGCAGGCTGCCATGGTGGCCCCATTCCCTTCCCATGGCCTTTTTAGCCTTCCTGCTAGGCATAGGGTGTGTCCTCTGAGCTCAGACCCCCAAGCATCTCCTCTCTCCAATTTCAGGCACCTGTGGCCCCTCAAGGACCTCTGGCTGACCAGCAATCAGGTGAGAGGGTGCTATTCTGTTTGCCTGGGAGGAGGGGCCCGTGGTCCTGGAGTTTCTTGAGTCAGGATTGCCTGGGGAGAGGCAGGTGAGGGAAGAGAAACCAGGCTTCTTTCTGCTCTCAAGTGGCTCCCACGAAGACTCTTCTCTTCTGGCTGTGACCGTGGGCAGTGCGCCTGAACTCTCCTGTGTAAATAGAGCTACGACAGACCTACCTCTTGAGACAGCCGTGGTCAAGGGCACAAGAGGCCACCGCTGTCTCAGGATTATCTGGAGTCTCCTAGAGAAGCAGATTCTTGGGCTCCACAGGTTTTGCAATGCTGGCCAAAAATTCTGCCATGAGCCACATCCACAGTCTAACATCTCACTTCCACAAAGAGTCAGAAGCAGAGGGTCAACTCAGAAACCTGAGTTCCAACGAGTCCTTGGGTCTGGGGACTATGGACATCAGCTTTGGAATTATGTGTCACCAAGTGACCTGCTGTTAGAGTGATTGTTTTTCCTGTCTACCTTGTTTCCTCTCAACCTCTTGGAGCCTGGTTCCCCCATTTTATAGCCGCATAAGTGAAGCTCACAGTGGAGCTGTGGGGTAGCCTTGGGTCACTTAGCCGTCAGTGCAGGGATGTACCTCAGTCAGTGACGGGGCAGGTGCAGGTGGCAAGGGGCCCTGAGGGTGAGAGCCTGTCCAGCTGGGTCCCTGTTTTACCTCCCTGCTCACCTACCCTTACAGAGATATTCTCTGGTCCGGGACAAGTGTTTCCTGTCAGCCACTGAGTGCCTGCAGAAGATCATGTGAGTGTCTGCCCTGGCTGGGGGAGGGGGCATGTAGGGACACAGGAGTGCAGTCCCTTCCTCTTGACCAGGAGCCACACCCTCCTTGCAGCACCACTGTGGACCCTCGGGAGAAGCTGGAAGTGCTGGAGAAGACCTATGGGGAAATCGAGACCACGGTGTCTCGGGTGCTGGGCCGGGAATACAAACTACCCATGGATGACCTTCTGCCGCTGCTTATCTACGTGGTGTCTCGAGCTCGGTGAGTGGGAACGGGCGCAGACGGAAGTAAACCCCCTTCCTCCTCTGTCTGCACCAAACACAGGACAGAGGAGGGTGGGGAACCAAGACCTAGGAAGGAGCCAGTCTTGTGGGTGCCTGGGGCCATTCCAGGAGTGTCTAGCCCTCTAGGCCAGGGCTGCCTCCCCCCGAGCTGTGGGGTATCTGTCTATGACTTCCCTCTTTTTCTCTCCTTTATTGTCATGGTACTTTCTAGAATTCAGCATCTGGGAGCTGAGATCCACCTGATCCGTGACATGATGGACCCCACCCACACAGGTGGCCTCCATGACTTCCTGCTCACAGCTTTGGAGGTGAGGAGGGACCTGGGCTGTGAGCCCGTGGAAATCACTCCCTGCCCCAGGTACCATGGTAGAAAGAGCTCAAGTCCCCGCCTTGCTCGTCTCCATGGGAAGGATCCCCGGTGCTGTTCCCAGGGCAGATGAGCCTCGCAGCCCTTCCGAGCAGTGTGCAGACGGAAGGCCTCTGCAGAGTGTGGCTGACAGCTAGTCCTGACTGGAGCGGGGTGCACATGGGGAGGCGGGTGCGGTGGCTTTCGGGGGGCCACGCACACAGTTGCCAGCAGGTCCCAGCCCCGCTCATCTCTCTCCTCAGTCCTGTTATGAGCACATCCAGAAGGAAGACGTGCGGCTGCACCGCCTGCCTGGCCACTGGAACTCGAGGGAGCTCTGGTGACACGGCCGCTCTGGACCAAGGGCAAAGCTGGGGCCACGAGGCTGCCTTGTGGGGCAAGCACTGCGCACCTGCTCCCCGACGCCTGGGTCAGGGCCGGCTGTGGAGGTAGTCCCCAAAGAAGATGGTGTCTTGCTTCCTAGAGGGACATGCCCAGCTGCTGCAGAGTGACCCCACAGCCGATAACTCTCCTTTGGCCTCCGGTGTGGGCTCTGACGACCTTTGCCCCGGAAGTAGCACCGTCTTGGGTGAGGAGCCCTAGCTTCACTCCGCCTCAGCCCTTACTCAGTGGCCAGAACTCTCTTGGCTGCCTGCCATGATTTCCAACACTCTTCCAGTCCAGTTCACTGGGCTCTGCAGCCCTCCCCAAGATCTGGCTTCATTCAGTTTCCTTTGGACTGATACGGAAATTCTCACTGTTCATCCCATTTCTATTTCTCGGCTCCTGACCAGAAAGCCCCAAACTGCAGAAGGCTCGGTTTGTTCCGTTCCTTTTCCCATGATCATCTGCCTGGGGACCTGTCTCCTCCTCAGCTGAGCTTCAGGCTTGAGCTGGCCTCTCAGGAAGGGCTAAGGTACACACCCAAAGTCAGGGCTGAGACCCCTGGGAGCCTCAGGGACAACCGCCTTCAGAACCTCTTGGAAAGTGTGGAGCACTGTGAAGAGAGCCTACTATTCTCCTACCCTGCTGTCCCCAGAGCAAGCAAAGATGTCCCCAGAGCAAGCAAAGAGGCTTTCTCTGGCTGGATCCACCAAATATTTCAGCATGGAGCCTGGGGCTTGAGTTCTGCCAGTAACTTGGTCCCCAGGAACATCCTTGGGAGGGTCAAACTGATGGAGGCCTCTCTCTCAGTGACAGTCCTAAGTGCCTGTAACACAGTTCAGCTGTGACAAAACCCTGCCACCTACTCCCCTGTTGCCAACACTAACTGAACTTGGGCCTCTGGTTCTTGTGGGTCCACAGGGTTTCCATAATGTCCTGGTAGGTTCCAGGAGCAGCCAGGGCTATAACAAACCCTTGGGACAAAACCAACATGTGAAGGGGGTTGCAGGAAGAAAATTGACAGTACAAAGGGGTGCCAGCCAGCCACCCACATTTGGTGCTTCTGGAGGCTGGAGGGCCGTCTCAGTGATAGCCTCTCCCAGGTGGGCTCTTTTATAGTTGTAAACTCTCCAGACTAGAACAGCTCCCGTTTTTTTTTGACATGTGAGCCATGTAAGAGGACAGTCTTAGGAGTGGCTGTCATCAGTGCCCCTACTGCCATAAGGGAATCTGCAGGCCAGATGTCATACCCCCTCACTCCACCTCACTTCGCATCTCCCTAGAAAGTAGTCCCAGGGTCCTGAGGGAAGAATGGGATGAGACCGGATGTGGTTAACGTCTCTTACATCCAAGCCTTGCCTTCTTCCTTTCCCCTCCTGCCCCATAATGGATTGTTTTCGTTTTTTCCCCAGCCACTTCTCTGGGGGATGGCCACAGTTACAGTCTACTTATTTATTCGGCATTTTTAATAAATCCACTTCATCTTCATGTGTGTGTGTCTGCGTGTGTATATAAAGGTGAGAGTTAATATAATTCCCTGGTTATTCTCTACCTTATCTTTTGAGATAGAGCCTCACCTTGAGCACAGGACTCACTGATCCACCTAGACAGGCTCACCGGCAAGCCAAAAGGGTTTTCCTTTCTCTGCCTCCCCATGTCTGTTGCTGCAGGAGCGTACCTCTGAGCCCACGGGGTGCTGGGAACAGAAGGCGGGTCATCATGCTTTACTGACTGAGCCACCTCAAGTCCCCCATGCCCCATCACCTTGTCATGGCATTGCCTGTGGGGGACAGGGAGCAAGTAATGCTCACAAAAGGCCGAGTCAATGCCCACTGACTGAACTTTTAGCTACAAGAGGGCAAGGGCGGTGCTCAGAAGCAGTGATACTGGGGATACAGAGTTTGCTTTCACTCTGTAAATGGGGATTGTGTCATTCCTACAAAGGGTATATATTGTGTACTGTGTCTAGGGGCACTCCCAGGAGGTCAGGGGGTCACAAAGTCTGTTTGCCAGAGCTGGGTAGAGTTGAACTATGTATCAAGTGTTCCTGTATGCTGTGAATCTGGTGTGCCAGGGTCCCTGGACTGCATATGTTGGGTTTTTGGCCCAGTCTTGAACACCAAAATATTGTCATGACTGTGTGACATTGTATTTGGGTGGCTGTGGTCCTTGTCTGGGTATATACAATCAGGCATCTTGATGCCCCCACTGGTTCTCATTGCCAAAGGCTCCTTTTCCATAGGCTCCCTGTGTGGTATGAACAGAGAATGGGCCAGTGCCATAATGTTTGTCTTTGTGTGATTTGGGCCTGGATCATCTGGCTTCCATTGACAAGTACCAGCCGACACGGGCAGCCCAACACGGTGTGTTGTGTCTGGAAGGACCCTTCCCAGGACAAGCATTGCCGACTGGACCTCTACACATGAGGCAGCTCCTTCTTGGTAGTTGGTTTTGTGACTACGGTCCTGATAGGCCATTTAATTAAACTCATCTGTGAGTCAAGCCCATGCTTCGTTGGGGACCTTGGGGTTTTTCAAAGAGTCTAAGGTGTTGTGCAGACTTCACCATGGAATGGCTGTACGTGGGAGGTGTGTGTGTGTGTGTGTGTGTGTGTGTGTGTGTGCCCCAATGATGCCCAATTAGCTCCATTTTCATTTGAAGACAGATTTTTGCCTGGCACAGCCCACCTTATTGAGGTTTCCCCTGCAGACTCACCTCCGAACAAGGATGTTGAGAGTAATGGTATCCAGACAGCTGACTTCTCCGTCCTCCTGTGTCAGGTACCCAAGTCAGGAATACTGAACAGTCAGTTGTTGCACTCTAAACACAAGAGGGCATTTTTCCTGAGTGCTGCCAGCTGCCTGCAGGGGGCTGCAATTTGCAGAATTGCCACTGACCCTCGTGGTTTCGAAGGTTCCAGAAGACACTGAGGCCCAAGAGGGAGCGTTGTCTGCAGCTTCTTGGCCAGTTTCCTTCAGCACATCTGCCCCTGCCTGCCCTTTAGGTGTAGAGACTCCTAATCCCACAATCCCACTTGTTTCCAGTTCCCCTGGAGCGAGGAAAGAGAGATCCTATAGAGACCCTGTGGCTGGGCCAGGGGAGCCTGGTGTCCTCCCAGTCACCATCTTGTCCCATAGTCATTATCCTCACCATGGCACTGTGCTTCCCACTGGGAGCACTCCAGAGGGTGAAGAGCTGGTGGCTACTTGGGACTGCATCCATCAGAGTCCCACTTGGAAGAGTAACTATCTCCTCCAGCTCTGGATGCTGCCCCTGTCTGCTGAGCTTCGGCAGCTTTTGGGGACAATCCCAGGGATGCCCTGGCTCTCAGGAGGGACAGCATTTGGATGGCCAGCTCCAGTTTGCTTTGTGGTGCAGCTTGTGAGCCCTCCTCCATAGGCGGGATTGCACAGAACCCTGCTTCCTTCCTCCCGCAGCCATCGACTCTGCTATCCGTGTGGCCTCTTCTATCTACTCCAAAAAAGCGTAAATCACTGGCGTCCGTTTACCCTGTACAGTGCATGAGGTGGTTTGAACAGGAATGGCCCCCAGAGGCACATAGATTTGAATGCTCGGTCACCAGGGAGTGGGGATATTTGAAAGGATTAGTAGGTGTGACCTTGTTGGAAGAAGTGTGTCACTGGAAGTGGGCTTTGAGGTTTTCAAAAGCCCAAGCCAGGCCCAGTGTCTCTCTCTTTTCCCGCTACCTGAGGATCCAGATGTAGAACTCACAGCTCCTTCTCTAGCACTGTGTCTGCCTGCCGCAATGTTGATAATGGACTGAGTCTCTGGAACTGTAAACAAGCTCCAATTAAATGCTTTTCTTTATAAAAAGTTGCTGTGGTCATGGTGTTTCTTCGCACCAATAAAATGCTGACTAAGACAGTGTCTGGGTAGACTTGGCACATCTCCACGAACCCAGCCGGCGAAGGAACATTGGCCCCGCATGGATCCAGTTAGTCTTCCGCAAGGATAGCAGGAGTGAGACATGCACAGTGTCAGCTCCAGTGACCACAGTCTCACTATACGACACAAATTGAGGGACCAGAGCCATAGCTCGGGCAGTGGCCTATCTAACCACCGAGGGCTACTTCCAAATTATAGCCAGGCAATTTTTGTAAGCTATAGCAAAACCTTAAGAGGTGATGGCAGTGACTGTAGTAGTAATGGTAATGATGGATGATGATGATGATGGTGATAGATTATGGGATGGTGGTGGTAGCAGTGGCCACGGTGGTGTTTAGGGTGATGGTGCATGTACTAGAAAGGTCTGCCATCTACTGAAACTATGGATACTTATAGTGGTTCCTTACAAGCACCTCCCCTCTCATTCCAGGGACCATTGTAGAGCACTGTACCAACACATGTCTGACTGCAAGGGAGTCCTGCCTAGGTGGTCTATGTGAAGATGTGTGAGGTTCCCAGGGTGCCACATTTTCTGCACCTAGTTTGCAAAGAGAGATTTGGGTATCACTACTCCTAGTTTGCAAAGAGAGATTTGAGCATCCCTTTGTCCTGACAGGTCCAGTAGGTGCTCCCAGAAGTCCTGAGTGCTCTGTGCTTCCTTCTGGACTCCTCAACTCTGTTCTGACCTCATCCACCAAGTTGAGTTCATCTGCTTCTCTCCATGTCAAAGAGCATCCTTATCCAGGTTGTGGTCCCCTGGAAAGGACCCTGGTCTTTGTGGTCTCTCCTTTCCCGCTGCAGTCAGCTGTCCGCACAGCAGCAGGAGGGAGCTTTGGGAAGCCCTCCGACAACTTTCCAGATCTCCTACAATCAAATCCAACCCCCCTGTACCTTGGCCCACATGGCTGCGCTGAAACTGTCCACTCTTTGTGGGGACACCAGACCTTGAGCAGAAACCCACTTCCCCTTCGGCCTGGGAGCAGGCATCTATGTAATGTTTACTGAAAACAATTCAGTGCTTTAAAGCTTGATAGGGCTCAGATAAGGGCTGGCTCACTGAAATACCATGCCTTTCACACCTCCTACGGCTAGATGCCTCTTCCTGTTTTCCTGGGGTGTCTCCCCGATTCTGGGGCCGGAGATTAGACCACCAGCCAGGAGGAAAGAATGGTATGTAAATGGATGGCAAAAGTCCTTAAAAAAGGGAAGCTCCTTTTTCTGGGGAGACTTCTCCTGAGACTTCTCCTGAGAGCTCTCCTAAGTGGACTGGGGTCTCCTCCTAAGCTGACTTGGGAAGCATAAAGTTTTCTTAAAGCAACCGACCGGTCTCTGTGTCATCTATCCCGACCACCTCGCTACATTCTCGGATGCAGGCCGCACAGCAGGTGCGACAATTGGAGGATCCCACCGAGATCATGAAAGCGAGGTAAGTGAGCGGGTTCGTCTCTTTTTCTGGCCAGGGACAGATTGGGAAAAAAAAAAAGAAAAGAAACCATGGGGAATAGTTCTGGGAAGCTTAAATTACAGTATCAAGTTAAAAAGTTACTTGAAGGACATGGGACTACAGTAAAGTCTAAAACCTTAGAAGGCTTTCTAAAGTCGATCGGACGAGCCAGTCCATGGTTCATTATCGGGGGGAGCTTAAATATCCCAGATTGGGAGGAGGTTCGCCGAGATCTTCATCAACTTTGACGAAAAGAGGGACCTGAGTCCCTGCCCCCATCTACATTCTCCTTATGGAGATTAGTGAAGGGCGCACTTTTGACAGATAAGGCTAGCCACCGCCAGGTAGTCCAGGCCACAAAAGAGGCTTTTTCAGAGTTACAAGAGATTGAGACTCAAGCCTCCCTGAGTTCTGAGGCAGAGAGTGACAGTGAATCATCTGGAGGAACCCTGACTGAAACTAGAGGCTCCATTGTTAGTGAGGATGAGGAGGAGCCTCTTAGCAACAACAAAAGAGTTAATAGAAATCTCAGGGCGCGACCCAAAAGGAGGGACTTCAGTCAGAATCGGGTATATCCTACTCTGTCAGACCTAGAAAATGAAAATAGCTCAGACCCAGACTCTGACTCGTCAGAGTCTGAGAAGGAACGGTTACTTGCTGAGGTCTCGGCCCTTAAAAAGGCACTAAAAAGGACTCGAATTTAAAAAAGACAGGACAGGGAGAGAAACCCTCCATACTCTAAAATGAGGGACTCCTCCTCCTCGGACCTGGAGAGAAGACCCAGAGGAGGGGTCCAATGCTGCCCGGTGGTGGCCCCAGTAATGGAAGTTCCAGACCCGAACAATTCTGGACAGGTCATTCGGCATCATAACCCTTTAAATTTTAAGGATATAAGACAACTTAAAGAGGCAACTTTAAATTATGGAGCACAGGCTCCCTTTACACTTTCCTTAATGGAATCTTTTGCATCTCTTAATTTGACACCTGGCGATTGGCAGCAGCTTTGCAGAGCAGCTCTGTCGGGGGGAGATTATTTGATTTGGAGAGGTGAGTTTCAGGAAAGATGCAGCCAGACAGCCCAAAGAAATGCACAGGCCGGACAGCCCCAGAGAAATGTGGAGATGCTTACCGGGAGTGG